CAGAAGAGCTTACAAAAAAACCTCAGGGACAGCACCCAGGCCCCGAGTTCAGGCCCCAGGACTGGCACACAAAAAGCTGAATTTAGAAAAGCAGGGTAAAGAAGCTAAGATGCTGGATGATCACGTGACACGAGGATGGCTTCTGGGATAACTCACCTTCCATCCCCCTGCTGGCCAGCACCCCCCAGCCCTGCTGCTCTGGGAGAAGGCTCACGCCACGGGGCCCGGCATGGGGCAGGGCAGGGGCAGCTGCCCCGTGGGGTTAGTAGCTGGTGTGGAGGCCTCCACTGGATGCCGGGCTCTGACCTGGAGGGACCACGCCCCCAGACTCTGGCTGAGCTCAGAGCCTGCCCTGCTTCTGGGCCTGGGTCCCTCTGACCTCCACGTGCTGCCCACCCCTCCTTTCTTGGTTAGCCCTCGGCGAGGTCTCCAGGTTAACCAGTAACAGCGTGGAGCACCAGAGACACCTAAATCACAGCGAAGCCCATTTGAGGCTGGCTGCCTGCCCAGAGCAACCCTTCAGGGCTCAAATCCACGTTGAGGAAGCGGTCCGGTGTCTCGGGAAACTCTGGACACTAAGTGGTGGACCACAGCTCCCTCCCGAGACCCAACAGCCTGGTCTCAGCTCCGGTGTCGCTCTCACTCAGGGCCGGGCTGGGCTTCGGACAGCTAGAGACCAGACTGGGATGTGAGCCCCAGAAAGTGGCAGCCTCGCCGGGCGCCGAGGCCCACGCCTGTCACCCAGCCACTCACGAGGCGGAGAGCTGAGGATCGCGGTTCAAAGCCAGCTCGGGCAGGAATGACCGTGAGACTCGGATCTCCAATAAGACCACTAGAAAACAGGAAGTGGTGCTGTAGCTCAAACGGTAGAGCATTGGCCTTGAGCTGAAGAGCTGAGGGACAGCGCCCAGGCCCAGTGTTCAAATCCCATGACTGTCAAATAAATAGATTAATTAATTTAAAAAATGAGGGCAGGGCTGGGATGCAGCCCAGTGGAAGAGCTTGCCTGGCAAGTGCAGTGTCCTCAGTTGGACTGCCAGTGCTTCCCTGGAAAAGACTGGGCAGCGAGCGACTCCCAGCTTTAATTCCCAGACACCAGAGCACGGCATTCCGAATTAAACAAGACCCTGGCCGAGGAAGCCGGGCAAACACTGGGTTCCACCACTCGCGCTTGCGCCCCAAGCTCTCCCAGCCGCGGCTCGGTGGGCTGTGTGGCCGGCTGTGTGCTGGCCAGCTCTGGTGTGGACCGGTAGACATCTACTCCTCTCGGGCTGGTCACGGCCAGGAAGATCTGTGGTCTGCATTCTGACAACTGTCTCCAACAGAGGATGGAGCCCTCCCGGCTTCCCGGTACCCCTCCCCATTGCTGGGATGAAGCCCAGACCCAAAGAACGCTAGGCAAGGGCCCCACCTTGAGCCATGGCCCTGGCCCCAATATTTGGTCAGCACCCCTAAGCCAGAATGGAGGCTCACATGCAGTGCAGCCTCCATAGCCTTTGTGTCCTCCTAGACCCCCCCCCCCAGGCCTGTCTGGTCCCAGAGCTCCCAGAGTGCGGTCTCCCCTCCCCCACCCCAGGCCTGCTATAAAGCTGGCCAGCTCCTGCCGGTGGCACACCTGGCCAGGCCTGGACCCTTCCCGCGGCCCCCTTTCCTCCTGGGTGGTGCCATGCGGCTCCTCTGGGCGCTCTGGGCGCTGTCCCTAGCCGGCCCCAGCACGGGCCTGACCGGGGAGCAGGTCCTGCACAGCCTGCTGGAGCAGCTGCAGCTGAGCCAGGCCCCAGTCCTGCCCGGGGCGGGCGGCCAGGGCGCGGCCATCCCCGCCCCCATGAGGGCCCAGTACGTGGCTTTGCTCCACCGCAGCCACGGGGGGCGCTCCCGGGAGAAGAGGTTCAGCCAGAGTTTCCGAGGTGGGCCTCCCCGAGGGACCCGGGCCCTGCCAGCCTGTGGGGCCACCAGGCTGGGCGGGGAGTGTGCCTGCTGGACAGGGAGCCGGGCTGGACGGGGTGTGTGCCTGCTGGGTGGGGTGTGTGCCTGCTGGGTGGGGTGTGTGCCTGCTGGACGGGGTGCCAGGCTGGGTGGGGTGCCGGGGGTGGGGGGGCTGGATGGGGGATGTGCCAGGCTGGATGGAAATGTGCCTGCTGGACAGAGTGTGTGCCTGCTAGACGGGGTGCTGGCTGGACAGGGGATGTGCCAGGCTGGATGGGGTGTATGTGCCAGGCTGGACAAGTAGGGTGCCAGTCTGGATGGGGCACAGTGCAGCCCCAGAGAAGGGGAGGGAGTGGGGCAGGCAGAGCCACGGGGCTGGGTGGCCAGAACCAGCCCTTCCAGGGCGCCTGGAGGCCTGGGCAGTCCCCAGGCCCATCCTTCTGCACGGTCAGGGCGGTCCGGTTGGGCCCGGTCTGGACGGGTCTGGTCTGGATGGGTCCAGTTGGGTCGGGTCCCAGCCGGTCTGGACGGGTCCAGTCGGGCCCGGTGGGGTCGGGTTGGGCCTGGGCCCGGCTGAGCACGCTGTGTCCGCAGAGGTGGCCGGCCGACTGCTGGTGTCCGAGGCGTCCACGCACTGGCTGGTCCGCTTTGGGGCACAGGGCCCAGTGGGCGCGGAGGCTGCTGGAGCTGCGCACGCTGGACCTCGAGGCCCACGGGTAGGAGGCGGGGGAGCACGGGGGGGGGGGGGGGGACAGGGGAGGATGGGGCTCCCAGGGCGGCACTTGACCCAAGACCCCAACCCCTCCATCTGCCCCCGCCCTGGCCGGCTCTCGTGCTCCTCTGCATCAAACCGCCAGCAGCACCGCACCGAGGGACGCCGGAGCCCCGTGTGCCGCGGTCCCGGACTGTGCGTGACCTGTGCCCAGCCCGTGGTGACCTGTGCCCGGCCCGCGGGGACCTGTGGCTCGTGGTGACCAGTGGCTCGCGGTGACCTGTGCCCAGCCCGCGGTGACCTGTGCCCAGCCCATGGTGACCTGTGGTCTGCGGGGACCTGTGGCTTGCGGTGACCTGTGCCTGGCCCGGCCCGCGGTGACCTGTGCCCGGTCCGCGGGGACCTGTCCACCCCAGTGTCCATCCCAGCGTCCATCCCAGCGAGCCACAGGTCACCACGGGCCGGACACAGGTCACTCGCAGGCCACAGGTCCCCATGAGCCACAGGTCCCCGCAGGCCGGGCACAGGTCACCACGGGCCACAGGTCCCCACAGGCCGGGCACAGGTCACCGCGGGCTACAGGTCACTACGGGCCAGGCACAGGTCACCCGCGGGCCGGGCACAGGTCACCGCAGGATGGACGCTGGGATGGACGCTGGGGTGGACGCTGGGACAGACGCTGGGATGGACGCTGGGATGGACGCTGGGGTGGACGCTGGGACGGACGCTGGGACGGACGCTGGGATGGACGCTGGGATGGACGCTGGGATGGACGTGGGGATGGACGCTGGGACGGACGCTGGGACGGACGCTGGAGTGGAGGCTGGGATGGACGCTGGGATGGACGCTGGGGTGGACGCTGGGACGGACGCTGGGATGGACGCTGGGATGGACGCTGGGATGGACGCTGGGATGGACTCTGGGGCGGACGCTGGGATGGACGTGGGGATGGACGCTGGGACGGACGCTGGGACGGACGCTGGAGTGGAGGCTGGGATGGACGCTGGGGCGGACGCTGGGATGGACGCTGGGATGGATGCTGGGATGGACGCTGGGGCGGACACAGGGTCCGGACAAGCACGGGGCCGGGGCGGCCTGGAGTGCCACAGCCTAGAAGGGCCGGGCCTGGAGGATCCGTCAGGGAGACGACCAGGGGCCGAGGCCGCAGGGGGGGGGGGAGGACGAGGGGGGAGAGAGGACGGGCGGGGGGGAGGACGAGGGGGAGAGGACGGGAGGGGGGGGAGGACGAGGGGGGAGAGGATGGGCGGGGGGAGGACGAGGGGGGGAGAGGACGGGCGGGGGGAGAGAACGGGCGGGGGGAGAGAACGGGCGGGGGGGGGAGAAAGGGGGGAAGAGGTCGGGAGGGAGGGGGGGAGGACGAGGGGGGAGAGGACGGGCGGGGGGAGAGGACGGGCAGGGGGGGGAGAAAGAGGGAGGGAGAGGACGGGCGGGGGGCGCTGCGGCCTTCTCTGGCGTAGAGGAGACCCTCGCACGGCCCCGCCCGCTCGGAGGCCCGCGGAGCCCCACCGCACCCGCCCGGGCCCGCCGCGGAACAGGCTCCGGAGACCGCGGCGCTGTTCCGCGGCACCGCCCGCTCCCGGCGCCCCGAGGGCCGGACCTGCGCAGCCCCGACGAATGGGGCCGCCGCGCCCCGGATCCGCCCGGCCCGGCCCGGCCCCGCCCCGCCCCAGGCGCAGCCCCGCCCCCTCCCCGCCCCGCCCCAGGCGCAGCCCCGCCCCCGTCCGCTCCGCCCCAGGCGCAGCCCCGCCCCTCCCCGCCACGCCCCCTCCCCGCCCCAGGCGCAGCCCCGCCCCTCCCCAGGCGCAGCCCCGCCCCAGGCGCAGCCCCGCCCCCGTCCGCTCCGCCCCAGGCGCAGCCCCGCCCCCGCCCCGCCCCGCCCCAGGCACAGCCCCGCCCCTCCCCGCCCCGCCCCAGGCGCAGCCCCGCCCCCGTCCGCTCCGCCCCAGGCGCAGCCACGTCCGCCCCGTCCCGCCCCGTCCGCCCCGCCCCGCAGCCCCGCCCCGCAGCCCCGCCCCCGTCCGCCCCGTCCCGCCGCCCCGCCCCCGCAGCCCGGCCCCGCAGCCCCGCCCCCGTCCGCCCCGCCCCGCAGCCCGGCCCCGCAGCCCCGCCCCCGTCCGCCCCGCCCCGCAGCCCCGCCCCGCAGCCCGGCTCCGCAGCCCCGCCCCCGTCCGCCCCGCCCCAGGCGCAGGCCCGTCCGCCCCGTCCCGCAGCCCGGCCCCGCAGCCCCGCCCCCGTCCGCCCCGCCCCAGGCGCAGGCCCGTCCGCCCCGTCCGCCCCGTCCGCCCCGCCCCGCAGCCCCGCCCCGTCCCGCCGGCGAAGATTCCGAATTGGGCGGGCGGGCGCCGCTCTGCGCGTGCGCGCAGGAGTTTCACTTGGGAAGTTTTCGTGGTCACCGCGCCGCCGCCGCCGCCGCCGCCGCAGGTCGGTGGGGAGGGCGGGGGGAGGGCGGGGAGGGCAGCGCCGGGCCCGGCGGCCGCCCCGCTCTCCTCCCGGGCCGCGCGCCGGTCCTGCCGACGCCTCCCGCGCCGGCCGCCCGCGCTTCCTCCCCTCGGTCCGCCCGGAACCGGGGGCGGGCGGGGCCGCGCGGCCGGGACCCGGACGGGCGGGGCGGGGTGGAGAGCGGGGCGGGGGTGCGGGCGGCCGGCGGGGCTCCCCTCAACCCCCGCCCCGCGCACGGGGAAACCGAGCCCGGCACCCGAGAGGACCGGCCACCGAGCGCTTGGCGCGCGGGGCCCGGGGCGGCGACCGCGGTGTGCGGACGTCCGGGCCCTGCCGCCCGCCGCTGCGCTTGTCCACAGCCTTGCGGGCCGGCCCCCCCCTTTTCTTCGGTCGGGAGGGAGGGACCTCCGCGGGGCTGCCCGCCCCTTCCTGTCCTGGAGATGTCTCCGGAACTTTGCACCGTTGCGTTGCACGGTTGCGTTGCAGGTTGCATTGTACGGTTGCGTTGCACGGTTGTGTTGCAGGTTGCATTGTACGGTTGCGTGGCACGGTTGCGTTGCAGGTTGCATTGTACGGTTGCGTGGCACGGTTGTGTTGCAGGTTGCATTGCACGGTTGCGTGGTACTGTTGAGTTGCACGGTTGCATCGTTGCATTATGTTATTGGGTTGTGCCGTTGCGTTGTACTGTTGTACTGTACTGCACTACTGTGTCGCACGGTTGCATTGTGCTGCTGCGCTGTTGCATGGTTGCATCACACTGTTGCATGGTTGTGACACACGGTTGTATTCCGCTCTCCCACTGTTGCATTATACCAGCCACAGTCAAACTCTGGGGAGCTCACAGGCTGCAGCTCACGGCTGCCTGGGGTCCTGGGACCCTATTGCCCTGGCTCAGCATGGCTCCGACTTTCCTACCACAGGACATAGGCTCGGAATGAGGCGCGCTGGGCCTTGCACATACCATTGGGTGTGGGGTGGTTCTCACGCAGGCTGGTGGCCTCACACGTTTCCTTGTTTCTTAAAACGATGTGTTCCTCTGACTTAGTTTTGGTGGGGCTGAGGATGGAGCCTGGGCCTTGTCCGCTGGAAGGTGCTCCGTGGCTGGGACAAACCCTAGCCCTCGCTGCTCCTTTGGCCTTATCTCCGTCAGTGCCCTCTCTCCCCTCAGCGTTCTTGGCTGACGGGGTGCCCAGGATGGACATGTCCCAGCTGCTCTCTCTCCTTCCACGGACAGCCAGCGGGCAGGACTGGCCCAGAGCCCGGCCCTCGGGCAGCAGGAGGGCTGTGCCGGCAGGGTTGAGTTTAGGGCTCTGACAGACTTCAGGGGAAGGCCCTGACAGACGACAGGACCCCCACAGCGGTGCTCTCACTGGCACCCCATCCTGAGGGTCAGGCAGGACAGATCGCATGCCTCTAGAGACCCCACCCTGGGTCGGACCCCCAAGCCCAGCTGGGGAATTTGCTGACTGATCTGGCATGGTTCATATCAAATGTAAATCCACCCACAAGCCTGTTTGGCAAGAGGAAAATGACGTGGATGCCAGTCTGGGCTGCAGGGCAACGTGAAGCCCCAGGTGCCCACCAAGGGCTGCAGAACTCTCTAGAACTCCGGGCAGCAGTGCCCCAGTCCCCTGTCCCCACTCCCGTCTTCCTCTATGCACAGCCTGGGATGTTTTTCCTTCCCGCCTCCGGGCCAAGTCTTCTTAGGTGTTCTGCATGGCCTCGTGCCCCGAGTCTGGCTTGGGCTGCAGCAGCAGCTCCCAGACCCTGTGGGGGCCAGGTGCTTCCAGACTGGACCATGGGGGGGGGGTCAGGAGCCTCAGGTGCTGCTAGGTAGAGGAGGAGAGAGGGGCAGGGAAGCCAGAGGAGGACTGGTCAGTGTGGAGATGGAGGGATGGGGGGCAGGAGGACTGGTCAGTGTGGAGATGGAGGGACGGGGGCGCAGGAGGACTGGTCAGTGTGGAGATGGAGGGATGGGGGGCAGGAGGAGGACTGGTCAGTGTGGAGATGGAGGGATGGAGGCAGGAGGAGGACTGGTCAGTGTGGAGATGGAGGGATGGGGGGCAGGAGGAGGACTGGTCAGTGTGGAGATGGAGGGATGGAGGCAGGAGGAGGACTGGTCAGTGTGGAGATGGAGGGATGGGGGGCAGGAGGAGGACTGGTCAGTGTGGAGATGGAGGGATGGGGGGCAGGAGGAGGACTGGTCAGTGTGGAGATGGAGGGATGGGGGCAGGAGGAGGACTGGTCAGTGTGGAGATGGAGGGATGGGGGGCAGGAGGACTGGTCAGTGTGGAGATGGAGGGATGGGGGCAGGAGGAGGACTGGTCAGTGTGGAGATGGAGGGATGGGGGGCAGGAGGAGGACTGGTCGGTGTGGAGATGGAGGGATGGGGGGCAGGAGGACTGGTCAGTGTGGAGATGGAGGGACGGGGGCGCAGGAGGACTGGTCAGTGTGGAGATGGAGGGATGGAGGCAGGAGGAGGACTGGTCAGTGTGGAGATGGAGGGATGGAGGCAGGAGGAGGACTGGTCAGTGTGGAGATGGAGGGATGGGGGGCAGGAGGAAGACTGGTCAGTGTGGAGATGGAGGGATGGAGGCAGGAGGAGGACTGGTCAGTGTGGAGATGGAGGGATGGGGGGCAGGAGGAGGACTGGTCAGTGTGGAGATGGAGGGATGGGGGGCAGGAGGAGGACTGGTCAGTGTGGAGATGGAGGGATGGGGGGCAGGAGGAGGACTGGTCAGTGTGGAGATGGAGGGATGGGGGGCAGGAGGACTGGTCAGTGTGGAGATGGAGGGATGGGGGCAGGAGGAGGACTGGTCAGTGTGGAGATGGAGGGATGGGGGGCAGGAGGAGGACTGGTCGGTGTGGAGATGGAGGGATGGGGGGCAGGAGGACTGGTCAGTGTGGAGATGGAGGGATGGGGGCAGGAGGACTGGTCAGTGTGGAGATGGAGGGATGGGGGGCAGGAGGAGGACTGGTCAGTGTGGAGATGGAGGGATGGAGGCAGGAGGAGGACTGGTCAGTGTGGAGATGGAGGGATGGGGGGCAGGAGGAGGACTGGTCAGTGTGGAGATGGAGGGATGGAGGCAGGAGGAGGACTGGTCAGTGTGGAGATGGAGGGATGGGGGGCAGGAGGAGGACTGGTCAGTGTGGAGATGGAGGGATGGGGGGGCAGGAGGACTGGTCAGTGTGGAGATGGAGGGATGGGGGGCAGGAGGAGGACTGGTCAGTGTGGAGATGGAGGGATGGGGGGCAGGAGGAGGACTGGTCAGTGTGGAGATGGAGGGATGGAGGCAGGAGGAGGACTGGTCAGTGTGGAGATGGAGGGATGGGGGGCAGGAGGAGGACTGGTCAGTGTGGAGATGGAGGGATGGAGGCAGGAGGAGGACTGGTCAGTGTGGAGATGGAGGGATGGGGGGCAGGAGGAGGACTGGTCAGTGTGGAGATGGAGGGATGGGGGCGCAGGAGGACTGGTCAGTGTGGAGATGGAGGGATGGGGGCAGGAGGACTGGTCGGTGTGGAGATGGAGGGATGGGGGGCAGGAGGACTGGCCAGTGTGGAGATGGAGGGATGGGGGGGCAGGAGGACTGGTCAGTGTGGAGATGGAGGGACGGGGGAGTGCTGGGGAGGAGCCCATTGGACTGAACCAGGAGCCCTATGTAGGGCAACAGACACCTGGACAGGTGTGTGTGTGTGTGTGTGTGTGTGTGCGTGCGTGCGTGCGTGTGTGAACCAGGAGCTGTGTGTAGGACAACAGACACCTGGATAAATGTCAGCATGTGTGTGTGTGCATGTGTGTGTGTGTGTGTGTGCGCGCAGAATGGTTTCTGTCCTGGGTCCTGACAGTGTGTGTGTGTGCAGAATGGTTTCTGTCCTGGGTCCTGACACTGGAAGGCGGGACCCCCGTGGGGCACAGGTGTGTGATTCGCCTCAGGGCAGCCCAGGTAGTCAGCAGGAAGTGAGGGACCAGCCCAGGGCTCTCTGCCCACGCAGCTCCAGAAGAGGATCTCGCCAGCATCTGCCCACAGCCTTCCCTGGTGTCTGCAGTGTGGATGGGACCGACCCTGGCGTGCCGGCTGGGGTGTCCCTGGGGGCAGCGTCCTGACCTGGTCTGCACCCCACTGCCTCCGCTGCGGCTGGCCCTCACACAGGCAGGCCTGTCGGCCACCCGTGTTTTCTGCACATCCTGTCACATGGGTATGTCACACGTGTGTGCCCGTGTCCACATGCACGTGACTGTGTGGTCCCAAGCAGGCCATCCTGGGACTTAGGACTGGGGTCACACCCCAAACACGAGCACTCACCAGCTCCTCGGGGGTCGGGGGTCCAAACGTCCCCTCGGGTTTGCTCCTCTTTCTTAAAGGTCTGATTTGATTTGATTCTTGGCGTGGTGTTGGGGCTTGAGCTCAGGGTATTAGTTTTTTACTCTAGGCTGGCCCTTTACTGCTTGAGCCACAGTGCCCCTTCCGCTTTCTGTTTTTCCTGGTTAGTTGGACACAGAGTCTCACAGATTGGTCTTCCTGGGCTGGCTTCACCATGTGCTTCTTGGATTGCGCACGGCCTCCTGAGCAGCCCCTGGCCTGGCTGGAGTTCTTGTCTAACCAGCTTGGGCGTGGGAGCTCAGGGGAGGGATTTGTTTGTTCCGACTCTCCAGGCACAGCAGTGGGAAGGGCAGGGAGGCCTGGGCACTGGAAGCCTCTGGCTTCGGAGCCAGGGGCGACTGGAGGTTTCCACTGGTGTCTGGGGTCTGGGGGCGGGGCAGGAGCCTTGAGTCCGAGCTGTCTGCTTTGGGCCTGCCAGGCTGCAGAGGGAGCGGGGCTGAGAGGGTGGAGCTGGAGGACCTGCAGAGAGAGGCCATGTCCCTCCGTGCTGCCACCTGCTCCCCCCTCCCCTGCTGTCCCTTCTGCCTTCATCCCTCAGTGAGCCGCAGGCAGCGGGTCCCAGAGGGAGTGGGCTTCAGAAGAGTGTGTGTCTGGGAGTCAGGACTCGGAGGCATCTGGGGGCCGGAGGCCGGATGCTGGAGGCCCCACCCTGTGTCCTGGTCTAGACAGATGACTCAGCCTCTGAGCCTCGGATTCCGTCTGTGCAAAGGAGGAGGGAGGGTCCCTGCAGCTCAAACGGACCAGCCATTGCTGTGCTCCGTGGGCCCTGTGCTGTTTTCTTCCCTGTCCCCTGCCCCCCTCTCCCCTGCCGGCACCCGGGTCCCCTCGAGCACAGGCCGCGGGGCTCTGCCCCCCACCCCGCCCCTCCCGATGAGCCGTGCCCTCGGCCGGCCGACCCCAGGGCGTGCCTTCCGCCAGCCGACCCCGGGGCTGGCCCCACACTGCAGCTCCTCTCCAGGCGCCGCCTGGCACGCGTGCCGCCTCAGGCCGCCCTCACTGCAGGCCAGCTGGGGAGAGCTCACGCCCCGCCCCCCTCCTCCCCGTCCGGTCCACAGGGCCTGCCCGCGATGAGCGGCTCCCGGTTCCCCGAGTGGTGGTCATCCAGGGCGGCGTCGGTCCATGAGCAGCTGGGCCTCGGGCACCGTCCCAACGACTCCTACTGCTACAACTCCGCCAAGAACAGCACCGTGCTCCAGGGCGTCACCTTCGGGGGCGTCCCCACCGTCCTGCTCATCGACGTCAGCTGCTTCCTGGTGAGACTCCGGGCCGGCCCTCCCAGCCCTGCGTCCCCGGGCCCCACGCTGGCCCCAGTCGGGAGACGCTGCACTGTGGGACGGGCCTGGATGGGCCATCCCTGTGAGGACCGCGCTGACCACGGCTGGCCGCAGAGCCCGGCCCGCGTGTCCGTGTGTCCTTGGGGAGGGCATGCCCCGGGACGAGGAGGGCGGAGGCCCGGCCTCCGGGCGCAGGGCTCTGTGGCGCCACAGCCTGGTCTGGCATCTGCTCCCTGGTTCAGTGTGAGCTGCGTTGTTTGGCCTTGCGGGTGCTACAGGGAGGTGCTTTTTTTTTTTTTAATGGTGTGGGTCTTGAACTCAGAGCTCTTCCACGTGCAAGGCAAGCGCTCTCTCACTGAGCGACGGGTCAGCCCAGTCCTCGGCACTCAGTGGGGTATCTGCACCTCCTCTGCAGACACCTGCCGACTGGGCCCTGTTGGAGCTGCAGGGAGGGTCCCAGCCCACGTTTTCCACCCCAGACTTGTCCACAGGAATCTAGAGGGAGTTCTCCTTTCTACATTGTTTTTGAGACTCACTACATTATTATTGTGGTTATTGTTATTATTTTCTGCCAGTACCAAGGCTTGAACTAATCCCTCTCCCTTAGCTTTTTGCCCCATGCTGGCATTCCATCACTTGAGTCACAGCTCTGTTTCAGGCATTTTGCTGGCTGTTTGCTGGCACTGGCTTCACACTGTGAGCCTCAGGTCTCCGCTTCTGAGTAGCTAGGTGTAGGCGTGAGCTACCGTAACCTAGCCTTGAGGTAGATTTTTCCCATGAAGAAGAGCAGCGTCTGTGTGGTCTGTGTTACTCCTGAGCTTATTCTTTTCTTGTTCTGTCAGTCCTGGAGCTTGAACTCAGGGCCCAGGCACTATCTCTGAGCCCTTTTTGCACAAGGTTAGTGCTCTACCACTTTGAGCCACGGCACCACTTGCAGTTTTCTGGTGGTTCATTGGAGATGAGTCTCACAGACTGTTCTGCCCAGGTTTGTTTTGAACTGTGATCCTCAGATCTCAGCCTCCTGAGTAGCTAGGATGACAGGCGTGAGCCACCAGTGCCTGGCTTCAAGTTACATTCTTTAGGTACTCTAGTAGCTGGGACTATTGGTGTATGCCACCATGCTGGGCCCCATGGAGTGTGTGTGTGTGTATGTGCGCGCGCGCACGCGTATGTGTACGGGGAATGGAACCCATGGTCTCACAGGTCCCAAGCATGTGCGCTATTCCTGAGCTCCGCCTCAGTTTTCTGGGTGTGGACTTTATTGCAGAGGACTGTGTGTGTCAGGCACAGGCTAGGCCGGGGCCTGGGCAGACATGGGCACGGGGGATGTGTGCACCCTGAACACGCCCAGACCAGGCAGAGGGGCAGCAGCTGTGCAGGGCAGCCTGCCCTGTGTGACTCACTTCCCGCCTCCTGGCCTGCATTCGCGCAGGGCAGCCTGCCCTGTGCGACTTACTTCCCGCCTCCTGGCCTGCATTCTCTGGGGATCACCTGGGACCTTTAAGTCCCTGCTTTGTGTCTGGGTGTGGCTCAGGACGTTCAAGGCTCTGGGCTCATCCTCAGCACCACAGAAATCAACCCAGTGAGAGCCCAGCTTCTGCCCGGAGTGGTGGGTTTGCCGCCGAGCCATGTCCCCAGCTCCTGTTCTCACAGAGGGTCTGTCTAGGAGGGGGAGGCGGGGGTCAGAACCTGCCAGGTTGGAGCCAGAATGCACAGGAATCTGATGCTGGCAAAGCCTGGGACTCCTGAGCCCCTGCCCATCTACCCATCTGTCTGTCTGTCCCAGCAGAGGCCGAGTCAGCCTGGAGTGCCAGACCACCCGGCTTTGCTCCGCACGTGTTTCGTGCTGGGGTCTGCAGGCCTGCCTTCAGGAGAGCGCACTTGGCGCGGGATCTAGGCATCTCTGCCCCAGCCTGGGCCTTGGCTCGGTCGGGCGTGGTGTCTCGCCCTGGGTGTGATCCAGAGCATGGCAGTTCAAGGCCAGCCCAGACACATCTACCCAGTAAAAAGCTGGTGTGTGGCACATGCCCGTGACCTCAGCTACCCAGGCTGTGTACGGGAGAGGCTCTTGGCTCAGGCTGGCCTGGGCATAAAAGACTTCCTTCACGCAAATAAGTAAGAAGGCCTGAGGTGGCTCAGGCCTGGGCGCACCTGCGTGCAATTCTACGGCAGCGGTCTCGGCTACCTAGGAGGCTGAGGGAGGGGGATTGCTTGAGCCCAGGAGTTCCTGACCAGATGAGCAACTTACTGAGACCTGGCCGCTAGACCAGCGTGAGGCTCTCCACAGGAAGGAGGAAGTTCCAGGCTCTCGCTTCCTGCTGGGGCCACGGGAGCCGGTTCGTGCCGAGGTCAGGGCCTGGCGTCTTCATTGCTGCCTGAGAGCGAGGGACAGGGTCGGGTGCTGAGCTAGGAGGCTGCAGCCCGGCCTGGCGTGGTGCTGGTGGCGGTAGTGGCTGGGGCTTGTGTCAGCCCGGCTCCGGGCACAGGTGCAGGGAGCTGGGGCAGGTGGGCAGGTGGGCTCTGTGTGGCCTGGGCCAGCCACTGGGCCATTTCCTTCTAACCCTGCCTGGCCCGGGAGCCACAAAGCCATCTGGGGCTTTTACTTGGTTTCTCTTCTACTTTTAGTTTCTCATCTTGGTGTTTTCCATCATACGAAGAAGATTCTGGGATTATGGCCGCATTGCCCTGGTGTCTGAAGCAGATAGGTAACAAAAGCTAGACTGAAAATATGTGGGGGTGAGTGTGCAGGAACGCATGTGTGGCCACGACAGTGCGCATGTGTGTACGTGTGTTCACGTGCACGCATGCGAGGTCACTGGCGTGGGCGGGGCTTTAGCTCCGAGTCTGTGTCAGGTCTGCCGGCAGTTGTGTCCCTGCTCCTCAGCAGATGCGGGAACTCGGCCCGCACGCCGGCTCGGTCCTCGGTGGGCTCCGGCAGGGGGGCGGCGGGGACTTGGGGAAGCCGCCTTCCCTCTTTCCAGGCCAGTGCCGGCTGTGCACGAGCCTGTTCCGAGACACGGGCCGGGCTGGACCTCGGGATTCACAGCCAGTCCCAGCTCCAGCTCTGCCCTCTCCCGAAGGGTGGAGATTGGTCTAGAACTGGACTGTCCAGCCCCGGTGGGTGCTGCAGCCTGCCCTGGCTCCATGGCAGGTACAGACAGACACAGGAAGTTCAGGCTGGAGCCTCCCATGATGGAGTTGGTGCCCTGGCCGGGTGCTTGGCAGCCACTGGGCCTGGCAGGAGGCCACCCCTCCCGCTCAGCCAGCCGCTTCCCTTCCTTGCCTGGCATCTGCAAGGGCGTGGCGATGCCCGGACCTGCTGCGGGGACCGGTGTGCTCCATGTGCGCTCATGGTGCCATCAGCCGAGGTGGGTGGCCGTGTGGACAGCTGGGCCCGCCCCCCGCCAGCGGCCTGCCTCCCGTCCTCACTCCCCGGCACTGAGCCGTCAGCCACACGGTTCCTTACCATGTGCTTTTGTGGGCAGGGGCTGGGGTCAGCGTGGAGGCCGGCACCCTGCAGGCCTCCGTCCACGGCATGCCGAGGCCAGGGTCAGCGTGGAGGCCGGCACCCTGCAGGCCTCCGTCCACGGCATGCTGAGGCCAGGGTCAGCGTGGAGGCCGGCACCCTGCAGGCCTCCGACCACGGCATGCCGGGGGCCGGGGTCAGCGTGGAGGCCGGCACCCTGCAGGCCTCCGTCCACGGCATGCTGAGGCCAGGGTCAGCGTGGAGGCCGGCATCCTGCAGGCCTCTGTCCACGGCATGCTGAGGCCAGGGTCAGCGTGGAGGCCGGCACCCTGCAGACCTCCGTCCACGGCATGCTGAGGCCAGGGTCAGCGTGGAGGTCGGCACCCTGCAGGCCTCCGTCCACGGCATGCCGGGGGCCGGGGTCAGCGTGGAGGTCGGCACCCTGCAGGCCTCTGCCCACGGCATGCCGGGGGCCGGGGTCAGCGTGGAGGTCGGCACCCTGCAGGCCTCCGTCCACAGCATGCTGAGGCCAGGGTCAGCGTGGAGGTCGGCACCCTGCAGGCCTCCGTCCACGGCATGCTGAGGCCAGGGTCAGCGTGGAGGCCGGCACCCTGCAGCCTCTGTCCACGGCATGCTGAGGCCAGGGTCAGCGTGGAGGCCGGCATCCTGCAGCCTCTGTCCACGGCATGCTGAGGCCAGAGTCAGCGTGGAGGTCAGCACCCTGCAGGCCTCTGTCCACGGCATGCCTGGGGCGGGGTCAGTGTGGAGGTCGGCATCCTGCAGGCCTCCGTCCACGGCATGCCAGGGGCCGGGGTCAGCGTGGAGGTCGGCACCCTGCAGGCCTCTGTCCACGGCATGCCAGGGGCCGGGGTCAGCGTGGAGGTCGGCACCCTGCAGCCTCCGTCCACGGCATGCTGAGGCCAGGGTCAGCGTGGAGGTCGGCACCCTGCAGCCTCTGTCCACGGCATGCCGGGGGCGGGGTCAGTGTGGAGGCCGGCATCCCGTCCATGGCATGCTGGGTGTTTTGGGGGTAGTGGAGGAAGGGACCTGGCTGGGGAGCTGGGCTGTAGCGGTCCTCAGCCCTCCGCTCTGAGACGCTGCTGCGGCACCCAGTCATAGCAGCAGCGTGGCGTCTTCCATGTTCATCCACTCACCCTGCGCCCGGTAACCAGGGCGGCCGTAGGTTTGGTACAGGTAACCAGGGCGGCCGTAGGTTTGGTACAGGTAACCAGGGCGGCCGTAGGTTTGGTACAGTGCGGCTGTCGGTGTCATGTTTAAGTGGACTCACTCCAGTGACACGCCTTGGTGGCAGAAGGCGCAGTTTTACTCTAGATTTACCTGCTGCGTTTGGAGAGCCGCTGTGAGCGGCGCCACCGTTCCTGCTGACGAGGTCCTGTGCCATTTCTGCACGTGACACCGTGTATTCCCGCCAGCCTCACCCCTCACGCTCTTCCCACCCACGCCCCCTGCTGTGGGCGATTTCTCTGTTCTGTTTCCATACGTGTGAGCAGACTCTTTGTCCATATTCATCTGTGCACCCTCTTTGTAGGGCCCCCTGCCCCACGTCGGGGCACCGGGCAGCACTGTGAAGCCACCTCAGGAGAGACGGGGGCTGGGCCCGAGGGGGGGGGCGGGGCGGAGGGGCGGGCGGGGGAGGGGAGGCTCTCGGGGCTGGGCCCTCGGCCGGCCCCATGGTCTCTGTCCGTACAGCACAGTCTCATTCCCTTCCCGGGAATGGGCAGTGTCCACTGGGCCTTGCACAGTGATTCCTGTGTGTCTCCGCATGGAGGGCTGGGGACTGCGACCCTCTCTCCCAAGGCGAGCCAGGTGCCGGGCCTCATCTTTCACGCTTCCTGGGCCTGCCTCTCACTTCACCTTCCGTGTCTCCAGTGGGTCCAGATTCCGGAGGCTGTCGTCCACCTCTTCCTCAGGGCAGCACGACTTTGAAAACGAGCTGGTTGGTGTCTTCGGGCGGGGGGGGGGCGGGGTGGATGGGGGGGTGAGAGGAGAGGACTGGCGGGGGGGGGGGTCAGGGCCGCTGCCAGCTGAGCACTGTGCCCCCTGTGCTGGTGAGCAGAGACAGTTGTAGTAGAGAGCCCCGCGAGGGGCCGGCGCTGCTGGACCCCAGGCAGAGAGGGCGGTGGAGCCTGCTCCGCCAGCCTGAGCCTCACACACCCCGCCTTGCGTGACGGTTAATTATTAACTTGTCTGTGAGGTTTTGAGCCAAATGTGGGCAGGAACCCTGCCTGTGCCGCTCGGTTTCCAGCACCGGGACCTGGTCAGTGCTAGCCATTGCTAAGTGAATGACGAAGCCACGTTTGCATTTTCCAGCCGGGTAACAGCCAGCTTTAGGGAGCATTAATAAGAGATAATAAAACCTTGTTTTCCAACTCCTGCCATGTGCGTGCCCGGTCTTCTGCCCGGTTTCTTCCCGGGGGGGTTTCAAAGCCTGTTTTTCTTTCTCCGGCTGCCCCAGTACCTGGCCGCTCTCCATTCCACGTCTGTGACTCCGCTCCGGTCTGGGGTGCAGTTAGCTGGACACAGAGCTGGACCTGGCTTTAATTAGGTTTAGAGAGACATTTGGTTTGGGAGGTAGGGGCCCGGTGCTAATCCTCCTCTTGTCTCCCTGTTTCCAGGGTTGCTGCCCCTGGCTGACCGCCATCTTCCAGCTGCAGTGAGTGCACTGTGGGGGGCTGCCAGGGGCGGGGCTCTGTGGGGTCTTTGGCCAATCGGGAGGAGAGACCCAGGGATGTGGTTCAGTTTAAGGCAAGCAGTGTGTCGGGGTGAGAATACGGGCATTCCTGTCACCTCAGAGTTGGGCCCAGGCTGGAAGGAGGCTTCTGGGACTGGAGCCTCCACAGCAGAGGGGTCTCGGGTCTGCTGGGCCCCAGGCTCCCCAGCTGAAGCTAGATCCAGACCCCCCACCCCCCCCACACTGGGGTCTGAACTCAGGGCCTCACATTGCTAGGCTGGCACTCTACCAATGAAGCTCCAAATCCAGCCCGGGGCTGCCCAGATTCTTCCGCTCTCGGCCCCCGAGCAGCTGGGATTTCAGATGTGAGCTACCCACTAACCCAAGGTTTCTTGAAGCTAGCAACAACTTCCTTTCAAAACCTTCCGTGGAGATTTTAGATGCTAAGCATTCCCCCTGCCCCAGCTTCTTCCTGCTCTGGGTCTGGAGCTCACGGTTTCCCCGCACAGCTGGGCTCCCGCCGCCCGCCAGCCCCGGCGGGCCAGTCTAGGTCCTCCCTGTCCTGTTGCTCACGTGGACGGGCCAGGCGTTGTTCCCGTGCATTTGTGGCCAGGTTGCCCCATGCCCCTTCCGGCACTGCTGTCTAACGTGCTCAGCACCTCTGAGCATCTCCTGAGTCCTAGACTGGCACCTGGTGCTGGATGTCGGTGGAGGAGGTGGACAGTGGAGGGCCGCGGCGTCCCCTCAGAACCACGGCTGAGCCGCTCTGCGGTGGTGCAGCCCACGCTGGTCCGTGCTGGTGCCCGTCCTGTGGCCCGGCTGCCTCCTGCCTTCCTGGGGCTGGGCCTGCGGACCCATCTCTAGGAGAGCAGGAAGCGAGGTTACGCGCCTGGCCCCCTCCCTCTGAGTCCGGCTCTCCCCAGCCCGGAGTTTTCCAGTCACCATTGGCCTGACGCTCTCCGGGGCACTTGGGAGGGGGAGGCCTCAGCCTCAGGATGTATCCCCGGTGTGCCCTCCCGGAGTGCCCTGAGCCTCTGCTGTGGTCAGGGCTCTGCTGCCGCGAGCCGTATCCTGAGCCCTGAAAACGAGCCAGGTGCTCGGTACCTCTGTGTCAGGTCACACGGCGCGCAGCGGCGCCAGGCTCGGGCTCGGCCGGTCACCACCCGTCTGTCTCCACCAGCGATGACCAGATCCTGGAGTGGTGCGGCGAGGACGCCATCCACTACCTGTCCTTCCAGAGACACGTCATCTGCCTGCTGGGGGCCGTCAGCATCCTGTCCCTCTGCGTCATCCTGCCCGTCAACCTCTCTGGAGACCTGCTGGGTGAGGCCCGCACCTCAGAGCTGGGGAGGGCGGCGGTCCCGGGACGGGCTCACCGAGCTCCTCCAACCAGAGCCCCGCGCTCGCCGAGCTCCTCCAACCAGAGCCCCGCGCTCACGGAGCTCCTCCAACCAGAGCCCCGCGCTCACGGAGCTCCTCCAACCAGAGCCCCGGGCTCGCCGAGCTCCTCCAACCAGAGCCCCGCGCTCACGGAGCTCCTCCAACCAGAGCCCCGCGCTCACGGAGCTCCTCCAACCAGAGCCCCGCGCTCACGGAGCTCCTCCAACCAGAGCCCCGGGCTCGCCGAGCTCCTCCAACCAGAGCCCCGGGCTCACCGAGCTCCTCCAACCAGAGCCCCGCGCTCACCGAGCTCCTCCAACCAGAGCCCCGCGCTCACCGAGCTCCTCCAACCAGAGCCCCGCGCTCGCCGAGCTCCTCCAACCAGAGCCCCGCGCTCACGGAGCTCCTCCAACCAGAGCCCCGGGCTCGCCGAGCTCCTCCAACCAGAGCCCTGCGCTCACGGAGCTCCTCCAACCAGAGCCCCGCGCTCACGGAGCTCCTCCAACCAGAGCCCCGGGCTCACCGAGCTCCTCCAACCAGAGCCCCGCGCTCGCCGAGCTCCTCCAACCAGAGCCCCGCGCTCACGGAGCTCCTCCAACCAGAGCCCCGCGCTCACGGAGCTCCTCCAACCAGAGCCCCGGGCTCGCCGAGCTCCTCCAACCAGAGCCCTGCGCTCACGGAGCTCCTCCAACCAGAGCCCCGGGCTCGCCGAGCTCCTCCAACCAGAGCCCTGCGCTCACGGAGCTCCTCCAACCAGAGCCCCGCGCTCACGGAGCTCCTCCAACCAGAGCCCCGGGCTCACCGAGCTCCTCCAACCAGAGCCCCGCGCTCGCCGAGCTCCTCCAACCAGAGCCCCGCGCTCACGGAGCTCCTCCAACCAGAGCCCCGGGCTCACCGAGCTCCTCCAACCAGAGCCCCGGGCTCGCCGAGCTCCTCCAACCAGAGCCCCGCGCTCACGGAGCTCCTCCAACCAGAGCCCCGGGCTCACCGAGCTCCTCCAACCAGAGCCCCGCGCTCACGGAGCTCCTCCAACCAGAGCCCCGGGCTCGCCGAGCTCCTCCAACCAGAGCCCCGGGCTCACGGAGCTCCTCCAACCAGAGTCCCGGGCTCGCCGAGCTCCTCCAACCAGAGCCCCGCGCTCACGGAGCTCCTCCAACCAGAGCCCCGCGCTCACGGAGCTCCTCCAACCAGAGCCCCGGGCTCGCCGAGCTCCTCCAACCAGAGCCCCGGGCTCGCCGAGCTCCTCCAACCAGAGCCCCGGGCTCACGGAGCTCCTCCAACCAGAGCCCCGGGCTCGCCGAGCTCCTCCAACCAGAGCCCTGCGCTCACGGAGCTCCTCCAACCAGAGCCCCGCGCTCACGGAGCTCCTCCAACCAGAGCCCCGGGCTCAGGCCCCTCCCCTGTGCGCATCCTCCCTGCGTGTCAGCCTGTGCTATGGCGTGAGATCATCACAGGGTGATTTCTTTGGAATTTCCCACCTGAGTAAAGATGTGGAAGAGAATCCGTCCCAAATCTGGGCCAAGAGCTGGAGACTGAATATCTATCTCTGGTTCTATTAAACGAGAAAGTCCGAAAACAAAGAACTTCACAGAAGAGACTGGTAGAACGGGGTACTTAGAAATGTGTGTTTGAGGCAAGGTCCTACTCCACATAGCCAGACGGCCCCGGACGCCGAGCCTCCGCCTCTCCTCCCGAGTGCTGGCTTTAGTAGGCATCCCAGTCATCTTCAGAAAGTGCTCGCTGGCTTCCTGCCCTGGCCCAGGCAGGAGGTCACACTGGGGTGTGTGAGATGTCAGCCCGTGTTGAGTTGTATCCCCCCCGCTTCCGGAGTGCCATCAGCCACAGATGGGTGCCAGTGAGCCTCCTTTTGTGGGATGATTGTTAGATTGTTTCTAGCTTTCCTTCACACATTTTAAAAGACACCCCACGTGGCCAGTGATAGTGAGTTACAGGGAATGTTCCAGAGTGGAGCTGAGGCCCCTATTGGGGCAGCTCTGGAAAAACTCATGTCCAGCCCCCGGCCTCACCTCGGCAGAGCCTGCCGGCCAGGGCTGCTTCCCACACTTACCACAACGATATCTGTGCCTCCCTGCAGACAAAGACCCCTACAGCTTCGGGAGGACCACCATAGCAAACCTGCAGACCGAGTGAGTAGGAGCCTGGGGAGAGAAGGGTACTGAGGCTGGACGGTGCGGGAGGCAGAGCCGGGGCCCAGGCTGGGCCAGCAGGAGCTGGCGCAGGCGGCGGGCGGCAGGCTTTGAGCTGTGGCTGCCAGCGTGCGTGGGGCGGGCATCCCAGTGGGTCTGAGGGGTGGAGAGGCCTCCCCATGGCGTGGCATGTCTCCCCCAGCACCAACCTCCTGTGGCTGCACACCATCTTCTCCGTCCTCTACCTGCTCCTCACCGTGGGCTTCATGTGGCACCACATCCAGTCCATCAGGTACAAAGAGGAAAGCCTGGTGAGTGAGGCCGGGTTGGCCGGGCTAGGAGGCTGGGGTGGGCCGGGCCGGGCCGAGGGGCCCTGGGCGCGTGGGCCCTGGGCATGGCCGGCTGACGCTTGTATTCCCACCTCACATTAGCTTTTAAAAAATGCAGGTGGATGGTTTTAAATCTTGCAGTACCTGCTCCCTCACTCTGCCACCTTGTGGGTTGGTCTGTGGTGTTTGGCTTGCAGATGCCGATGCTAAGTGAAGAACTAAGTTGTGCTGGGTGCCGGTGGCTCACAGCTGTAACCCTAGCTACTCAGGAGCCTGCGATCTGAGGATTGCGGTTCAAAGCCCAGCCCAGGCAGGAAAGTCTATGAGACTCTCATCTCTACTACTCGGAAAAAGCCAAAGTGGTGCTGTGGCTCAAGTGATAGAGCATTAGCCTTGAGCACAGAGAGGCCAAGGCACGGCACCCAGGCCAAGTCCAGCCCCAGGACTAGGCAAAAAAAAAAAAAAAAGTCCCACTACGTCGGGCTTGGTGTTGTACACCTGTAATCCCAGCCCTCGGGCTGGAGGTAGAGGTGGTGTGTTCCATACCTCCGTGGACTGCACAGGCCTGCTCAGGAAGACAGAGCTGAGGAGCTGGGCGCGTGGCTCCGCGTTGGCCTCACGGGGGCCAGGCAGCTGGGTCCCAGGACTCGTCCACCTCCGGGTCTCCTCTGCTGTTGCTGGTAGAGTTCTCTCTCCTCTCTGTTGCTGGTAGAGCTGTCTCTCCTCTGGTGTTGCTGGTAGAGTTCTTTCTCCTCTCTGTTGCTGGTAGAGTTCTCTCTCCTCTGGTGTTGCTGGTAGAGCTGTCTCTCCTCTGGTGTTGCTGGTAGAGCTGTCTCTTCTCTCTGTTGCTGGTAGAGTTCTCTCTCCTCTGCTGTTGCTGGTAGAGCTGTCTCTCCTCTCTGTTGCTGGTAGAGCTGTCTCTCCTCTGGTGTTGCTGGTAGAGCTGTCTCTCCTCTCTGTTGCTGGTAGAGCTGTCTCTCCTCTCTGTTGCTGGTAGAGTTCTCTCTCCTCTCTGTTGCTGGTAGAGCTGTCTCTCCTCTCTGTTGCTGGTAGAGCTGCCTTGCAAATGCCGGGAGAAGATGCTGCGTGTGGATCAGGCTCTGGGCTCTGCAGACCCACAAGCGCACCCGGCCTTGCTGGCTGCTGCGGCTTTCTCTCCTGGGGTTTGAGCAGCGGAAACCTGGTCTCACCAGCCACGGCTAGCCGGGTGACTTCTCTTCCCGATGTGTTCTGTGGCAGGTGAGACAGACACTGTTCATCACAGGACTGCCCCGAGAAGCCTCGAGAGAGGCTGTGGAGAGCCACTTCCGGTAAGCAGGCCTCTGCGGGCACGAGGGTGGGGGCTGTGCCACGTGGTGCTACGCCGTGTGGTGCTGTGCATGGCGCTGCCACGTGGGGCTCGGCTGCTTCTCGGGGTCTCGTGTCTGCCGTGCGGTCCCCGCGTGGGTGCAGGTGAGCAGTGAGCACACAGGCAGGAGCGTCGCTCACGGGGCTGATCCCGCTGTGCCAGGCTAGGGCAGAGCTGAGCTGGGCATCCTGGTCTGCCGGCTCACGCGTCTCTTGCGGGCAGGTGTCTCTTGGGGGGCTCAAGTGGTAGAGTGATAGCTTCCAGTGCAAGAGCTCAGGGACAGCACCAGGCCCCTTGTTCGGCCGCACAGCTGACCGGCTGACTGCACCTGCATGTGCTGGTTTCAGGCACTTCCTCTGGGGCTGGGGCTGTGGTCAGTGCAGAGCACCTGTCCAGCACGCACCGGCCCTGGCTTCTCGCTGCAGCACTGAAGAGAAAAGTCTGTATTTATTCCAAATCTCCCCCTTGGGGCACTAAGGATCAAGAGGAACATAGTTTGAGCTGGCTCAAAGCTGAGAGTAGATGGAGTACCGTCCTCGGGCTGTGGTCTCCAGGTCTGTGGTCTCCAGGTCTGTGGTCTCCAGGTCTGTGGTCTTCAGGTCTGTGGTCTCGGGCTGTGATCCAGGTCTGTGGTCTCCAGGTCTGTGGTCTCGGGCTGTGATCCAGGTCTGTGGTCTTCAGGTCTGTGGTCTCGGGCTGTGGTTTCCAGGTCTGTGGTCTCCAGGTCTGTGGTCTCGGGCTGTGATCCAGGTCTGTGGTCTCAGGCTGTGATCTAGGTCTGTGGTCTCCAGGTCTGTGGTCTCCAGGTCTGTGGTCTCGGGCTGTGATCCAGGTCTGTGGTCTCAGGCTGTGATCTAGGTCTGTGGTCTCAGGCTGTGATCCAGGTCTGTGGTCTCCAGGTCTGTGGTCTCGGGCTGTGATCCAGGTCTGTGGTCTCCAGGTCTGTGGTCTCCAGGTCTGTGATCTCGGGCTGTGATCCAGGTCTGTGGTCTCCAGGTCTGTGGTCTTGGCTGTGATCGGGTCTGTGGTCTCCAGGTCTGTGGTCTTGGCTGTGATCGGGTCTGTGGTCTTGGGCTGTGATCTAGGTCTGTGGTCTTGGGCTGTGGTCTCCAGGTCTGTGGTCCAGGTCTGTGGTCTTGGGCTGTGGTCTCTAAGTCTGTGGTCTTGGGCTGTGATCTAGGTCTGTGGTCTTGGGCTGTGGTCTCCAGGTCTGTGGTCCAGGTCTGTGGTCTCAGGCTGTGATCTAGGTCTGTGGTCTTGGGCTGTGATCTCTAAGTCTGTGGTCTTGGGCTGTGACCTAGGTCTGTGATCTCGGGCTGTGGTCTCTAGGTCTGTGGTCCAGGTCTGTGGTCTTGGGCTGTGATCTAGGTCTGTGGTCTTGGGCTGTGGTCTAGGTCTGTGGTCTCCAGGTCTGTGGTCTTGGCTGTGATCGGGTCTGTGGTCTCGGGCTGTGGTCTCTAAGTCTGTGGTCTTGGGCTGTGATCTAGGTCTGTGGTCTTGGGCTGTGGTCTCCAGGTCTGTGGTCTCAGGCTGTGATCTAGGTCTGTGGTCTTGGGCTGTGATCTAGGTCTGTGGTCTTGGGCTGGGGTCTCGGGCTCTAATCTAGGTCTGTGGTCTCCAGGTCTGTGGTCTCCAGGTCTGTGGTCTCCAGGTCTGTGGTCTCGGGCTGTGATCTAGGTCTGTGGTCTTGAGCTGTGGTCTCCAGGTCTGTGGTCCAGGTCTGTGGTCTCAGGCTGTGATCTAGGTCTGTGGTCTTGGGCTGTGGTCTAGGTCTGTGGTCTCCAGGTCTGTATCTCGGGCTGTGATCTAGGTCTGTGGTCTTGGGCTGTGGTCTCGGGCTCTAATCTAGGTCTGTGGTCTCCTGGTCTGTGGTCTCCAGGTCTGTGGTCCAGGTCTGTGGTCTCAGGCTGTAGTCTCGAGTTGTGGTCTCGGTCTGTGGGCTCTCAGGTTATGGTCTAAGTCTGTGGTCTCTCAAGGGCTCCTCCCTTCCCAGGAACGCATACATCACCTGCGAGGTGGTTGATGTACAGCTGTGCTACAACGTGGCCAAGCTGATCTATCTGTGCAGAGAGAGGTAAGGGTGGAGGCCAGACCTTGTACGGAGGGCTGGAACTTCCCAACTCACCCCCCCCCAGACCCCCCACTTCTTGCTGGCTGGCACCCCCCGCTGGGAAGGGCGGCACCCCTGCCCTGGCCGGCCCACAGAGCTGATCTCCAGTTGTTTGTGGTGGTCAGTGGCTGGTTACGGCATGACCCCAGGACATGGGACCACCAGTCTATGTGCTGTCCCCCCCAGGAGGAAGACAGAGAAAAGCTTGACCTATTACACAAACCTCCAGGCGCAGACTGGCCGGCCAGCACTCATCAACCCCAAGACCTGCGGCCAGTTCTGCTGCTGTGAAGTGCCGGGGTGTGAATGGGTGAGAGCAGGGGCAGTTTGAGGGGTGAATGGGCATGAGCAAGTGTGTGGATGAGTGTGTGAGGTGAGTCCTGTGATGTGAGTCTGGGTGGAGGGCATGTATGTGTGATGTGTGTGGGCAGGGGTGCGGGGGGCAGGGGCGGTGGAAGGCAGGGGTGGTGGGGGCAGGGGTGGTGGGGGCAGGGGCGCGAGGGGCAGGGGTGGTGGAAGGCAGGGGTGGTGGGGGCAGGGGTGGTGGGGGCAGGGGCGCGAGGGGCAGGGGCGCGAGGGGCAGGGGTGGTGGAAGGCAGGGGTGGTGGGGGCAGGGGCGGTGGGGGCAGGGGCGGTGGAAGGCAGGGGTGGTGGGGGCAGGGGCGGTGGGGGCAGGGGCGGTGGAAGGCAGGGGTGGTGGGGGCAGGGGCAGTGGGGGCAGGGGTGCGGGGGGCAGGGGCGGTGGAAGGCAGAGGTGGTGGGGGCAGGGGCGTGGGGGGCAGGGGCAGGGGTGCGGGGGGCAGGGGTGGTGGGGGCAGGGGCACGGGGGGCAGGGGCGGTGGGGGCAGGGGCGGTGGGGGCAGGGGTGCGGTGGGGGCAGGGGTGCGGTGGGGGCAGGGGTGCGGGGGGCAGGGGCAGTGGGGGCAGGGGTGCGGGGGGGCAGGGGTGCGGGGGGGCAGGGGTGCGGGGGGGGCAGGGGCTGTGGGGGCAGGGGTGCGGTGGGGGCAGGGGCGGTGGGGGCAGGGGCGGTGGGGGCAGGGGTGCGGGGGGGGCAGGGGCGGTGGGGGCAGGGGCGGTGGGTGCGGGGGGGCAGGGGCGGTGGGGGCAGGGGCGGTGGGGGCAGGGGCAGTGGGGGCAGGGGTGCGGGGGGGCAGGGGCGGTGGGGGCAGGGGCGGTGGGGGCAGGGGCGGTGGGGGCAGGGGTGCGGGGGGGCAGGGGCGGTGGGGGCAGGGGCGGTGGGGGCAGGGGTGCGGGGGGGCAGGGGCGGTGGGGGCAGGGGTGCGGTGGGGGCAGGGGTGCGGTGGGGGCAGGGGTGCGGGGGGGCAGGGGCGGTGGGGGCAGGGGCGGTGGGGGCAGGGGCGGTGGGGGCAGGGGCGGTGGGGGCAGGGGTGCGGGGGGCAGGGGCGGTGGGGGCAGGGGCGGTGGGGCAGGGGTGCGGGGGGGCAGGGGCGGTGGGGGCAGGGGTGCGGTGGGGGCAGGGGTGCGGGGGGGCAGGGGCGGTGGGGGCAGGGGCGGTGGGGGCAGGGGTGCGGGGGGGCAGGGGCGGTGGGGGCAGGGGCGGTGGGGGCAGGGGCGGTGGGGGCAGGGGTGCGGGGGGCAGGGGCGGTGGGGGCAGGGGCGGTGGGGGCAGGGGTGCGGGGGGGCAGGGGCGGTGGGGGCAGGGGTGCGGGGGGCAGGGGTGCGGGGGGCAGGGGCGGTGGGGGCAGGGGTGCGGGGGGGCAGGGGCGGTGGGGGCAGGGGTGCGGGGGGCAGGGGTGCGGGGGGCAGGGGCGGTGGGGGCAGGGGCGGTGGGGGCAGGGGTGCGGGGGGGCAGGGGCGGTGGGGGCAGGGGTGCGGGGGGCAGGGGTGCGGGGGGCAGGGGCGGTGGGGGCAGGGGCGGTGGGGGCAGGGGTGCGGGGGGGGGCAGGGGCGGTGGGGGCAGGGGTGCGGTGGGGGCAGGGGGGGGGCAGGGGTGCGGTGGGGGCAGGGTGCATCGTGCTCACCGTGGGGACCTTCTGCAGGAGGATGCCATTTCCTACTACACGCGCGTGCAGGCGCGGCTGCTGGCGCGGATCAGAGAGGAGCAGCGGCTGGTGCAGGACCGGCCCCTGGGGATGGCCTTCGTCACCTTCCGGGAGCAGGCCATGGCCACCTAGTGAGTGCTGTGCGGGGCATGGCAGCAGCACAGGGGTCAAACCTCATTTGTGAGCCTGTTTCCCTGTCTCTGGGAGCTTGGGTGAGGCGGCCCTGCCTGTGGGGTTGCGCGGCCTCTCTGACGGCTGATTGCAGTGAGGCATCGCCTCCTGGCACGACCTCCCCCCTCCCCCCACAGCATCCTGAAGGACTTCAACACCTGCAAGTGCCAGGGCCTGCACTGCCGGGCGGAGCCGCAGCCCTCACCGCACAGCCGGGAGCTGGGCACCTCCAAGTGGACCGTGGCCCTGGCCAGCTACCCCGAGGACGTCTGCTGGTGAGCCTTGGGCGGGGGCGGGGCCGGCGGGGGAGGGGGAGCCGCCCAGGGCCAGGGCCAGTGGGGGAGGGGAGCCGCCCAGGGCCAGGGCCAGAGGGGGATGGGGAGCCGCCCAGGGCCAGGGCCGGCGGGGAAGGGGGAGCCGCCCAGGGCCAGGGCCGGCGGGGGAGGGGGAGCCGCCCAGGGCCAGCCAGGGGAGGGGGAGCCGCTCAGGGCCAGGGCCGGCGGGGCCGCCCAGGGCCAGGGCCGGCGGGGGAGGGGGAGCCGCCCAGGGCCAGCCAGGGGAGGGGGAGCCGCTCAGGGCCGCTGGCACATTGCCTGACCTGGCGTGCTGGCTGGGAGAGGCCCAGCCCTGGCGTCCACCCCTGCGCCCCACGGTAGCTCCTGACAGGAGCAGTGTCCTGAGATGATTGAGCTGCTGTGTGACTGCAGGTTTTCTAGTAGCTCTGTGAGATAAAACGTGCTCACTTCAATAATGTAGTTCTGTCAGAATATCTAAAATACTACACATGAACGTGTAATATCTTAAATTCTGATTTTATCTCTTGGTCCCAGACCCTGGCTAAAAGTCCACTTTTTTTTGGGGGGGGGGTCCAGTCGTGGAGCTTGAACTCTGAGCCTGGGCACTGTACCTCAGCTCTTCAGCTCAAGGCGAGCACTCTACCACTTGAGCCACAGCACCACTTCTGGCTTTTTCTGCTTATGTGGTGCTGAGGAATCAAACCCAGGGCCTCGTGCATGTGAGGCAAGCGCTCTACCACCGAGCCACCTTCCCAGCCCAGAAATCCACATTTTTAAAGCAGTATGAAATGTATCCGAGGGCGCTTGGGTGGCACTCCTAGCTCTGTTTGCTCTGCAGACGGCGCTACCTGTGTCTCTCTGGGCTGCAGTCCTCCTCGCTGAGTAGCTGGCAAGGGCCACCACACCCAGCTGTCTTCTCTTTTCTTTCTTGGTGCCAGTCCTGGGTCTTGAACTCAAGGCTTTTGTATTCAGGCTAGTGGTCTACCCCTTGAGCCACTGCTCTATTCCCAGTGTTTTTTGGTACTTAATTGGAGACGAGGGTCTTCTGCCCAAGGTGGCATCCTGAGCTGCTAGAATTACAAGCCTGAGCTCTGGGGCCTGACCTGGGTTGGCCGTGAGCCTCATCTCCCACAGCCAGGATTACAGATGTGAGCTGCCAGCCTGGCTTACTTTTGTTTTTCTCCTTGGTCTTTGAACCCCGTTGCACATTTTACATTCCCAGCATTCTCGGCCCAGACGATCCGTGTTCTGAATGCGCAGTAAATGCTCGTGGCTGACAGCGTCATAGTTCCCAGGATAGCTGGACGGGCGGTGGCAGGCTGAGCTGTGTCCACGGGGCCAGGCATGGCGGCTGACAGTGCACACACCGCCTCAGGTGTGCGCACACCAAGTGTGGGCTGCTGGTCTCTGGTGAGCTGAAGTTCAGCCTCAGAGTTTCTCTGTGTTGCAACCTGGGCTCGAGCATGGCTCTTGTTGGTGGATGAGGCCAGTTCAGGCTCCCGGTGTGCCCTGTCTGTGCCTGCCACACGCAGACCCCAGCCACGAAGCATCAGGATGTCTGCCCGGGGTGCCGCGCTGGAGCCTGCCCAGCCTGCCCTGGTGCTCGTGGGGTCTCTGCGTGGGTTCTGGCCCCAGGCCCTGGCCAAAAAACCACCCAAGCACGGCTAGGGGCGTCTCTCTGACTCAAGGGGCCAGAAACTCACCTCTCGTAGCTGAAGGCCGGGGCAGAGAACCTGCCCTTACTCCTGAGGCCCATGCAGTGAGCATCCTGCCCGCCCCAGGGTGCTTGTGACCACGTGAGCCCTGGGCAGCGGCGCGGGCCGGCCAGGCGGCCTCTGCGGAGCTGAGCCCCAGTCCTTTTCCCCTTCTGCAGGAAGAACCTGTCCGTCCAGGGCCCCCGCTGGTGGCTGCAGTGGCTGGGCATCAACTTCACCCTCTTCCTGGTGCTCTTCTTCCTGACCACACCCTCCATCATCCTGTCTACCATGGACAAGTTCAATGTCACCAGACCCATCCACGCGCTGAATGTGAGTGACGCGCCCAGCTGGAAGGCCCACATCATGACGCACGGCTCACGTCCGCGGGCTGGCCGCGTGGATGGCAGCGTCCGCGGGCTGGCCGCGTGGATGGCAGCGTCCGCGGGCTGGCCGCGTGGATGGCAGCGTCCGCGGGCTGGCCGCGTGGATGGCAGCGTCCGCGGGCTGGCCGCGTGGATGGCAGCGTCCGTGGGCTGGCCGTGTCGATGGCAGCGTAGGCAAGCTGGCCCGGTGGAATCAATCCATGTGCGCAGCCTGAGGAGCCTTCGAGCTGCAGGAGGTGTAGTCAGTCTAGAACAACCGTGGGCCTCTCTGATAAACTACGCAGTCCTCGTGGAGAGGAGGGTTTGTGAGAGAGCGGCGTTCCACGGCGTCTCCAGACGCTGGTCAGGAAGCCGGGACGCCTCTGTAGACCCTGACTTCTTTCACATTTAGTTTTGGTAGTCTTGTTAGGAAGTCATTTGTGTGACGTAGGCCGGGTGAGGCGGCTCCTGCCCGGCTGTGACCTGAGGATCGTTTGAAGCCAGCTTAAACAGAAAAGTCTGTGAGGCTATTTCCAGTTAACCCTCAAAAGGCCAGAACTGGGGTATGGCCCACGTAATAGAGAACCAGCCTTGAGCAAAAAGCTGAGTGAGAACAAGAGGCCCAGAGTTCAAGCCCAGGTACTGTGCGCACACACGCGTGCACACGCATGCTCACAAGCACACACAGCAACAACTTACAGACACTCACAAAGCCATCCCAAACTTTCTTAGATTCATTCTCCTGGGTCTTCTGCGGTTAATTTGCTTTCATGTAATTCAAAAAGCAGCTTTAGGAACTGGCCGTTAGAAATCTTTCCACTTAGCCTGTCACACTGATTGATGGGTGGGTTGTGTCCTCGGGACCCGGGGGCCCTGCCCAGCGGCCCTGCTGGCCTCCACCCCGCTGGCCTTCATTTGTCAGAGAGTTTGTTCTGTCCTTACATTCCGGTCCACCTCTGGCTAACAGCCAGCCGGCGTGCTCAGAGTTGGTGCACGCAGGGTTGGCATGGGGGTTGGCATCGGCACGGTTGGCAGGCAGTGTCGGCACGCACAGGGCCGGTGTGCACGCATGTTGGCGAACAGCGGGACAGAGCCCGGCGTCGGCGAGCCGTGCAGGCCAGTTGGCGTGTGGGTGGCCCGCGTGGCGGCAGCAGTGCGTGGCTCCCCCACTCCTGGTGGGAAGTCGTGGTTTTCCATGGGCAGTGCTGAGGCCAGATCATCTGGACTGTATAGTGGGGTCTCGGCGTGTGCAGCTCTATAGCTGCAGAATCCGATCAGCTGAGAACGGGGTTATTTCCCAGCCCTGGGGCCGCCGCTTGGCCCCCACAGTGGAGCTGCCAGCCCAGTAGACCCCCGGGGCCTCTGACTCCTCGGTGTGGATCTTGTCTTTCAGAACCCAGTCATCAGCCAGTTCTTCCCAACCCTCCTCCTCTGGTCCTTCTCTGCCTTACTTCCGTCCATTGTCTATTACTCCACGCTGCTGGAGTGCCACTGGACCAAGTGAGTACCGCCCAGCCCAGGCCCAAGCCAGGGCAGGGGGCACACGGCGGGCCCACGGGGCACAGGGCGGGCCCACGGGGCACAGGGCGGGCCCACGGGGCACAGGGCGGGCACACAGCGGGCACAGGGCGGGCACAGGGCGGGCCCACGGGGCACAGGGCGGGCACACAGCGGGCACAGGGCGGGCCCACGGGGCACAGGGCGGGCCCCTGGAGCACACAGCGGGCACACAGGGCACAGGGCGGGCCCACGGGGCACAGGGCGGGCCCACGGGGCACAGGGCGGGCCCACGGGGCACAGGGCGGGCACACAGCGGGCACACGGGGCACAGGGCGGGCCCACGGGGCACAGGGCGGGCCCACGGGGCACAGGGCGGGCCCACGGGGCACACGGCGGGCACACGGGGCACACAGTGGGCACACAGTGGGCCCATGGGGCACACAGCGGGCACACAGGGCACACAGTGGGCCCATGGGGCACACAGCGGGCACACAGGGCACACAGCGGGCACACAGGGCACACAGTGGGCACACAGCGGGCACATGGGGCACACAGTGGGCACACAGCGGGCACACAGTGGGCACACAGCGGGCACACAGGGCACACAGTGGGCACACAGAGGGCCCATGGGGCACAAAGCAGGCACACAGCGGGCACACAGTGGGCACACAGAGGGCACACAGGGCACACAGGGCACACAGCGGGCACAGTGGGCACACAGCAGGCACACAGCGGGCACACAGCGGGCACACAAGGCACACAGGGCACACAGCGGGCACACAGTGGGCACACAGCGGGCACACAGGGCACACAGGGCACACAGCGGGCACACAGTGGGCACACAGCGGGCACACAGGGCACACAGGGCACACAGCGGGCACAGAGGGCACACAGCGGGCACACAGGGCACACAGGGCACACAGCGGGCACACAGTGGGCACACAGCGGGCACACAAGGCACACAGGGCACACAGCGGGCACACAGTGGGCACACAGCGGGCACACAGGGCACACAGGGCACACAGCGGGCACACAGTGGGCACACAGCGGGCACACAGGGCACACAGGGCACACAGCGGGCACACAAGGCACACAGGGCACACAGCGGGCACACAGGGCACACAGGGCACACAGTGGGCACACAGCGGGCACACAGTGGGCACACAGCGGGCACACAGGGCACACAGCGGGCACACAGGGCACACAGCGGGCACACAGTGGGCACACAGCGGGCACACAGGGCACACAGGGCACACAGCGGGCACACAGTGGGCACACAGCGGGCACACAGGGCACACAGGGCACACAGCGGGCACACAGGGCACACAGCGGGCACACAGGGCACACAGGGCACACAGCGGGCACACAGTGGGCACACAGCGGGCACACAAGGCACACAGGGCACACAGCGGGCACACAGCGGGCACACAGCGGGCACACAGGGCACACAGCGGGCACACAGGGCACACAGTGGGCACACAGCGGGCACACAGTGGGCACACAGCGGGCACACAGGGCACACAGCGGGCACACAGGGCACACAGCGGGCACACAGTGGGCACACAGCGGGCACACAGGGCACACAGGGCACACAGCGGGCACACAGCGGGCACACAAGGCACACAGGGCACACAGCGGGCACACAGGGCACACAGTGGGCACACAGCGGGCACACAGTGGGCACACAGCGGGCACACAGGGCACACAGCGGGCACACAGGGCACACAGTGGGCACACAGCGGGCACACAGGGCACACAGCGGGCACACAGGGCACACAGTGGGCACACAGTGGGCACACAGTGGGCACACAGTGGGCACACAGGGCACACAGGGCACACAGCGGGCACACAGGGCACACAGCGGGCACACAGGGCACACAGGGCACACAGCGGGCACACAGTGGGCACACAGTGGGCACATGGGGCACACGGGGCACACAGTGGGCACATGGGGCACACAGCGGGCACATGGGGCACACAGCAGGCACACAGGGCACACAGCGGGCACACAGGGCACACAGTGGGCACACAGTGGGCACACAGCGGGCACACAGCGGGCACATGGGGCACACAGCGGGCACACGGGGCACACAGTGGGCACATGGGGCACACAGTGGGCACACGGGGCACACAGCAGGCACACAGGGCACACAGCGGGCACACAGGGCACACAGCGGGCACACAGGGCACACAGTGGGCACACAGGGCACACAGTGGGCACACAGCGGGCACACGGGGCACACAGTGGGCACACAGCGGGCACATGGGGCACACAGCGGGCACATGGGGCACACAGCGGGCACACAGGGCACACAGTGGGCACACAGCGGGCACACAGGGCACACAGTGGGCACACAGCAGGCACATGGGGCACACAGGGCACACAGTGGGCACACAGAGGGCCCATGGGGCACAAAGCAGGCACACAGTGGGCACACAGGTCACACAGTGGGTCCGCTGGGCACAGCAGGCCCCCAGTTGCTGGGACACTGGGAGCACATACAGGCTCTGGGGGTACCAGGTGCACTCACAGACCCAAGTGCTCACCTCTGACTCCTGCAGGTCAGGAGAAAACCGGATCATGATGACAAAGGTCTACATATTCCTGATCTTCATGGTGCTGATCCTGCCCTCTCTGGGCCTCACCAGGTACTGGAGAGCATGGTGACCCCCAGCAGAACAGAAGGGGCCCCAAGACTTTAGCACATTCTCACCCTTTGTATCACTCAGCCTGCACATTCTGGAAATGAGATCTTCCTCAAAAAGAAAGAGAAAAAAAGATGGAAGCAGTGTGTGGCTCACACCTGTAACCCCAGCCACTCAGGAGGCAGGAATCGGGAGGATCACAGTTCAAGGGCAGCCAGACAAAGAGATTTTTTTTTTTTTTTTGAACAATGGATGTTTTTTTGTTTTTTTTGTTTTTGTCGGTTGTGGGGCTTGAACTCTGGGCCTGGGCGCCTGTCCCTCAGCTCTTCAGCTCAAGATGAGCGCTCTACCACTTGAGCCACAGCGCCACTTCCAGTTTTCTAGTGGTTTATTGGAGATAGGAGTCTCACGGTCTTTCCTGCCCGGGCTGGCTTTGAACCGAGATCCTCAGATCTCAGCCTCCTGAGTAGCTAGGATTACAGGCGTGAGCCACCGCGCCGGCTGCAAAGAGATTTTTGAGACACCATCTCAACCAGCAGGTCTGGTGTGGGTGCACGCCTGTGATTATTCCATCTGTGAGGCATAGGTAGAGGATCGGTCTCATGGCGGCCACTGGCAAAACCCAAGGTCTTGTACAGCCTCTCACACTGAAGCCCAGGGAGGGGACGTGGCACAGCGCTGGCCGCCGGTGCGAGGCGGAGCTCAGCGGCTCCTGCCCGTGGTCCTCGCAGGAGGGGTCGAGTCTTAGCAGTGTTTCAAGGAGTAGACAGCAAGGGCCAGCCTCAGGCTCTGGAGTGGAGTGGAGTGGGGGGGGGGCGGTCCCACAGAGGGCTGGGGGCCGGGATGGAGCTTAGGGTGGAAGCTAGAACGCTGGCCCAGCCTGGGTGAGGTGGGTGAGGCCCCGGGTCTGATCACGGGAAGGGGGCGGGGAGGAAGGGAGGGGGAGGGGAGGGAAGGGGGGAGGAAAGGGGGAGGGAAGGGGGCAGGGAGGAGGGGAGGGAGGAGGAGACGGCTCTCACTGGGGATTCTCTCCTTTTCCAGTCTGGATTTCTTCTTCCGGTGGCTATTTGACAAAAGTTCCTCAGAAGCGTCCATCCGGCTGGAGTAAGTGTCGGCAGATGGTCCTGTGCGTGGTGTGCAGGGCTGTGGAGGGCTGGGGCTGGGCCGGGCTGGGGCTGGGGCTGGGGCTGGGGCTGGGGCTGGGGCTGGGGCTGGGCTGGGGCTGGGCTGGGGCTGGGGCTGGGCTGGGCTGGGCTGGGGCTGGGGCTGGGCTGGGGCTGGGGCTGGGGCTGGGCTGTGCTGTGCTGGGGCTGGGCTGGGGCTGGGGCTGGGGCTGGGGCTGGGGCTGGGGCTGGGCTGTGCTGTGCTGGGGCTGGGCTGGGGCTGGAGGCTGGGGCTGGGCTGGGCTGGGCTGGGCTGGGGCTGGGGCTGGGGCTGGGGCTGGGGCTGGGGCTGGGCTGGGCTGTGCTGGGCTGGGGCTGGAGGCTGGGGCTGGGCTGGGCTGTGCTGGGCTGGGGCTGGGCTGGGCTGGGCTGTGCTGGGGCTGGGCTGGGGCTGGAGGCTGGGGCTGGGCTGGGCTGGGCTGGGCTGGGGCTGGGCTGGGCTGGGGCTGGGGCTGGGGCTGGGGCTGGGGCTGGGCTGGGCTGGGGCTGGGGCTGGGGCTGGGCTGGGGCTGGAGGCTGGGGCTGGGCTGGGCTGGGCTGGGCTGGGGCTGGGCTGGGGCTGGGGCTGGGGCTGGGGCTGGGGCTGGGGCTGGGCCCCATGGCTCTGGCTCACGGCCCGCCCCTCCAGGTGCGTCTTCCTGCCGGACCAGGGCGCCTTCTTCGTGAACTACGTCATCGCCTCGGCCTTCATCGGCAACGGCATGGAACTGCTGCGCCTGCCGGGCCTCGTCCTCTACACCGTCCGCATGCTCATGGCCAAGACAGCCGCAGACCGCAGGAACGTCAAGCAGGTGCGGGCTCCCCAGGGCACCTCCCAGGGCACCAGCTCCCACCAGGACAACAGCTCCAACCAGGACACCACCCCCAGGATGCCACCCCCCAGGACACACCCCAGGACACCACCCACCAGGACACCACCCCCAGGATGCCATCCCCCAGGATGCCACCCCCCAGGACACACCCCCAGGACACACCCCAGGACACCACCCCCAGGACACCATCCCCCAGGATGCCATCCCCCAGGACACACCCCAGGACACCACCCCCAGGACACCACCCCCCAGGACACACCCCAGGACACCACCCCCGCAGGGCACCACCCCCAGGACGCCACCCCAAGGCACGCCCCCAGGACGCCTCCCCAGGGCACCACCCCCAGGACGCCACCCCAGGACACGCCCCCAGGGCTCAGGACACCCCCCCAGCCCAGGCACTGCCCAGCCTCCTGGTAACGCCAGGCCCTGTGCCAGGAGCTCCTGCAGCCGGGTGCAGGGCTGGCTGTGTGGGGAACCCCAGCCGGCTCGTCCATGGTGCTCACAGGTTGAGGTACCAAACACACGACAAAACCCTGCGCCTCCCGAGCTCACGTGTGGCTCAAGCGAGGTCAAGGCCCTGGCTGGGCCCCCTGCCTCCTGTGAGCCATCCCGCAGCACCTCCCTGGTGTCCGGGCTGCCCGGGAGCTCAGATGCCCAGGCCCGTGCTCATCCCGCACCCCTGGACCCGGCAGCGTCCAGGTGACGGGCGGGCCAGCCGCAGCCTGCCCAGCCCCCGGGGTCTATCCGCAAAGGCCAGCTGGCCCCCGGGGTCTATCCGCAGAGGCCGGCCTGGGTCGTGGAGGCCGGGTCTGGCCGGGGAGGGGCGGGCGGGACCAGAGGCAGAGCCTCCTCACCACCCCCCATGGCACACGGGGGGGGGGGCGGGAGGGGGGACTTGACCGTGAGTTCCTCACCCCTCCCAGAACCAGGCCTTCGAGTTCGAGTTCGGCGCCATGTACGCGTGGATGCTGTGTGTTGTCAGTGTCATCATGGCCTACAGCATCACCTGCCCCATCATTGCGCCCTTTGGTGAGTGCCGTGGGTGGCCGGTCCGCGCGTGGGAGGAGCAGGAGCAGGAGCAGGCGGCACCGCTAGCACACCATGGCTCAATGCGGCGTGTGCAGCCGCTGCGCACGCAGGTTGAGATGGGTGCTGCCGTGGGCCGCACTCACTGCCGGTCCTCCTGGCCTCACATCTCCAGCAGAGGGGGCCGGGGGAGCGAGCCCATGCCTTCCACGGAGCAGGCGGTGCGTGGCTGGGCCAGCGCGGGGTTTGACGGCTGCTGTGTGTGTCCCAGGGATGTGGGGGCTCGTGGGGGGCGTGGGAGGGGCGGGTGGGCGCGCTCGCTGGGCACGCAGGGGCCGGCCGGGGTGCGGAGCGTCCCCGGCCTGCGTGAGGGCCCGCGTCTGGTCCCAGCCCCACCCCAACCCCAAGGAACAGAAAGGCGGCGCCCTGCTGCTGGTGCTCTGGCTGGGTCCCAGGCGGGGGAGGGGGGGGGGGGACCAAAAGACTCAGGATAAGCGTCTTTCCCAAGATGAGCCCAGGCCTCCAGCTCCGGGAGACGTGTCAGACACCGGCGTCCCGGGTGGAGGGGAGGCGGGCACGGAGGGCACGGGAGCCGCCGCGTGCGCATCTCGCCCGACTTCGGCCCATGCTGCAGCTCACTCCACCCCCAGCTCCCCGAGATCCTGGGCTCCCCTGGCCCGTCCTGCTCACAGCCCCCCCCACCCCCCCGCAGGCCTCATCTACATGCTGCTGAAGCACATGGTGGACCGCCACAACCTCTACTTTGCCTACCTCCCCGCCAAGCTGGAGACGGGGATCCACGTGGCTGCCGTGAACCAGGCCCTGGCCGCCCCCATCCTCTGCCTCTTCTGGCTCTTTTTCTTCTCCTTCCTGCGTCTGGGTGAGTGACCCCTGGGCCTTACGCTCCCGTTCCTGTCCAGACAGATACCCAACCCCTTCCAGGCCGGACGCCAAGCCCTGCCTTAGTCTCACTAAGGGGTGACCGTGCCAGAGGCCCCTGGCGCTGCCCCCCCCACGCTCCTGGGGCTGCCCCCCCACCCTGAGCCCCTGACGCTGCCCACCCACCCCGCACCCCTGGCGCTGCCCCCCCCACGCTCCTGGCGCTGCCCCCCCCACGCCCCTGGGGCTGCCCCCCCACCCCCACCCTGCGCCCCTGGGGCTACCCCCCACCCTGAGCCCCGACGCTGCCCACCCACCCCACACCCCTGGCGCTGCCCCCCTCCGTCCTGCGCCCCTGGCGCTGCCCCCCCCCACGCTCCTAGTGCTGCCCCCCCCCACGCCCCTGGGGCTGCCCCCCACCCTGAGCCCCGACGCTGCCCACCCACCCCACCCTGCGCCCCTGGCGCTCCCTCCCCCACCCCGCGCCCCTGGCGCTGCCCCCCCACCCCACCCCGCGCCCCTGGCGCTGACCCCCCCGCGCCCCTGGCGCTGCCCCCCACCCCACCCCGCGCCCCTGGCGCTGCCCCCCACCCCACCCCGCGCCCCTGGTGCTGCCCCCCCCCCGCGCCCCTGGCGCTCCCTCCCCCGCCCCGCGCCCCTGGTGCTGCCACCCCCCCCCCCCGCGCCCCTGGCTCACCCAGAGGACCGGGAAGCGGATGTGGTTTTCTGGGGGTCATCCTCACAACGTGGCAGAGGTGGGATAGGGGAGAGGAGTCTGCCGTTGGGAGGAGGGAAGGGCAGGGGATGCGGCTTGGGACAGCGGGCCTGGGCCTGAAACCCGGCCAGGGACGAGGTGGCTGTTCCTCGGGCCCCGTGTGCCCTGGCTACACCCCACTGACGAGTCGGCTTGGGCAGAGCGGACCCCGTTCTGGGCTGGGGCTGGGGAGAAGCAGAGCACGGCTCTGCTCTGTGCCCCGCACCGCCGCTTGCTCGGCAGCGAATGAGCAGCAGCCCGCCCTGCGGCTGGCTCTGTCCCCAGGTCTGAAGGCTCCCGCCACGCTGTTCACCTTCCTGGTGGTGCTGCTCACCATCCTGGCCTGCACCGTCTACACCTGCTTTGGGTGCTTCAGACACCTCAGTGCCGGGACCTACAAGGTACAGCCCCCCACAGGCCAGGGCCCGGGGCAGACAACCCCCCCACAGGCCAGGGCCCTGGGAAGATCCCCCCTCCCAACAGGCCAGGGCCTGGGGCAGACAACCCCCCCACAGGCCAGGGCCCTGGGAAGATCCCCCCTCCCAACAGGCCAGGGCCTGGGGCAGACAACCCTCCCACAGGCCAGGGCCCTGGGAAGATCCCCCCTCCCAACAGGCCAGGGCCTGGGGCAGACAACCCCCCCACAGGCCAGGGCCCGGGGAAGATACCCCCTCCCAACAGGCCAGGGCCTGGGGCAGACAACCCCCCCACAGGCCAGGGCCCTGGGAAGATCCCCCCTCCCAACAGGCCAGGGCCTGGGGCAGACAACCCCCCCACAGGCCAGGGCCCGGGGAAGATACCCCCCCACAGGCCAGGGCCCAGGGTAGACAACGCCCCCACAGGCCAGGGTCCTGGGAAGATACCCCCCCACCACCACAGGCCAGCACACCGGGGCAGACAAGCCACCCACACCAGCCAGCCAGGGCCCGGGGCAGACAACTCCTCCCACAGGCCCGGCCGGGGGCAGACAACTCCCCTACAGGCCAGGGCCCCGGGGCAGACAAGCCCCCACTACCTCCCCCCACTGCCAGAGTTGGTTTATGGGGAAGGGGGGGGCTGGGGTGACTGCATGTCCCTTGCTCCCTGTCCCGCCCTCCCCCCTTCCTTCTTGGGCCACATGGGAGTGGGTGGACCAACCACTTTCATTGTGTTGCTGTTAACAGTCTGATTTGGGTGGATGAGCTCAGGGAGATGTTTGGTCTGTTGGTTTTGGGGTGAGCTCAGGGAGATGTTTGGTCTGTCGGTTTTGGGGTGAGCTCGGGGAGATCAGTTAGGTCTGTTGGCCTTGGGGTGAGCTCAGATCAGTTAGGTCTGTTGGTTTTGGGGTGAGCTCATAGAGATCAGTTTGGTCTGTTGGTTTTGGGGTGAGCTCAGATTAGTTTTGCCTGTTGGTTTTGGGGTGAGCTCAGGGAGATGTTTGGTCTGTTGGTTTTGGGGTGAGCTCGGGGAGATCAGTTAGGTCTGTTGGTTTTGGGGTGAGCTCATGGAGATCAGCTCGGTCTGTTGGTTTTGGGGTGAGCTCATGGAGATCAGTTTGGTCTGTTGGTTTACGGGTGAGCTCAGGGAGATCAGTTGGGTCTGTTGGTTTTGGGGTGAGCTCATGGAGATCAGTTGGGTCTGTTGGTTTTTTTTTTTTTTTTTTTTTTTTTTTTTTGGGTCCGGTCGTGGGGCCTGAACTCTGGGCCTGAGCGCTGTCCCTCAGCTCTTCAGCTCAAGGCTAGCGCTCTACCACTTGAGCCACAGCGCCACTTCCGGCTTTTTTCTTTTTGCTTATGTGGTGCTGAGGAATCGAACCCAGGGCCTCAGGCATGCAAGGCAAGCGCTCTACCACTGAGCCACCTTCCCAGCCCCTTGGGTCTGTTGGTTTTGGGGTGAGCTCATGGAGATCAGCTTGGTCTGTTGGTTTTAGGGTGAGCTCAGGGAGATCAGTTTGGTCTCTTGGTTTTGGGGTGAGCTTGGAGATGAGTGTTGGTTTTGGGGTGAGCTCAGGGAGATGTTTGGTCTGTTGATTTTGGGGTGAGCTCAGGGAGATGTTGGGTCTGTTGGTTTTGGGATGCGCTCTGGGAGAGCAGTTTAGTCTGTTGGTTTTGGGGTGAGCTCAGAGAGATGTTTGGTCTGTTGGTTTCGGGGTGAGCTGGGGGAGAGCAGTTTGGTCTGTTGGTTTTGGGGTGAGCTCAGGGAGATGTTTGCTCTGTTGGTTTTGGGGTGAGCTCAGTCAGTCTGTCATTGTGTCTCCTCTCATCTGCAGACAGAGGAATCGGTGAGTGAGAGAGGAAGCGAGGTAGAAGGCCGGGAACCGCCCCCGTTCACGGTGAGCTGCCTGTGCCCCTGGGCCTGCGTGCCTGAGTGCCTGTGCCCCTGGGCCTGCGTGCCTGAGTGCCTGTGCCCCTGGGCCTGTGTGCCTGAGTGCCTGTGCCCCTGGGCCTGCGTGCCTGTGCCCCTGGGCCCCTGGGCCTGCGTGCCTGTGTGCCTGTGCCCCTGGGCCTGAGTGCCTGTGCCCCTGGGCCTGTGTGCCTGTGCCCCTGGGCCTGCGTGCCTGAGTGCCTGTGCCCCTGGGCCTGAGTGCCTGTGCCCCTGGGCCTGAGTGCCTGTGCCCCTGGGCCTGCGTGCCTGAGTGCCTGTGCCCCTGGGCCTGCGTGCCTGAGTGCCTGTGCCCCTGGGCCTGCGTGCCTGAGTGCCTGTGCCCCTGGGCCTGCGTGCCTGAGTGCCTGTGCCCCTGGGCCTGTGTGCCTGAGTGCCTGTGCCCCTGGGCCTGCGTGCCTGTGCCCCTGGGCCTGCGTGCCTGTGCCCCTGGGCCTGTGTGCCTGAGTGCCTGTGCCCCTGGGCCTGCGTGCCTGTGCCCCTGGGCCTGTGTGCCTGTGCCCATGGGCCTGTGTGCCTGTGCCCCTGGGCCTGCGTGCCTGTGCCCCTGGGCCTGCGCGCCTGTGCCCCTGGGCCTGCGTGCCTGAGTGCCTGTGCCCCTGGGCCTGCGTGCCTGTGCCCCTGGGCCTGCGTGCCTGAGTGCCTGTGCCCCTGGGCCTGCGTGCCTGAGTGCCTGTGCCCCTGGGCCTGTGTGCCTGAGTGCCTGTGCCCCTGGGCCTGCGTGCCTGTGCCCCTGGGCCCCTGGGCCTGCGTGCCTGTGTGCCTGTGCCCCTGGGCCTGAGTGCCTGTGCCCCTGGGCCTGTGTGCCTGTGCCCCTGGGCCTGCGTGCCTGAGTGCCTGTGCCCCTGGGCCTGAGTGCCTGTGCCCCTGGGCCTGTGTGCCTGTGCCCCTGGGCCTGCGTGCCTGAGTGCCTGTGCCCCTGGGCCTGCGTGCCTGTGCCCCTGGGCCTGCGTGCCTGAGTGCCTGTGCCCCTGGGCCTGAGTGCCTGTGCCCCTGGGCCTGCGTGCCTGAGTGCCTGTGCCCCTGGGCCTGCGTGCCTGAGTGCCTGTGCCCCTGGGCCTGCGTGCCTGAGTGCCTGTGCCCCTGGGCCTGCGTGCCTGAGTGCCTGTGCCCCTGGGCCTGTGTGCCTGAGTGCCTGTGCCCCTGGGCCTGCGTGCCTGTGCCCCTGGGCCTGCGTGCCTGTGCCCCTGGGCCTGTGTGCCTGAGTGCCTGTGCCCCTGGGCCTGCGTGCCTGTGCCCCTGGGCCTGTGTGCCTGTGCCCCTGGGCCTGTGTGCCTGTGCCCCTGGGCCTGCGTGCCTGTGCCCCTGGGCCTGCGCGCCTGTGCCCCTGGGCCTGCGTGCCTGAGTGCCTGTGCCCCTGGGCCTGCGTGCCTGAGTGCCTGTGCCCCTGGGCCTGTGTGCCTGAGTGCCTGTGCCCCTGGGCCTGCGTGCCTGTGCCCCTGGGCCCCTGGGCCTGCGTGCCTGTGTGCCTGTGCCCCTGGGCCTGAGTGCCTGTGCCCCTGGGCCTGTGTGCCTGTGCCCCTGGGCCTGCGTGCCTGAGTGCCTGTGCCCCTGGGCCTGAGTGCCTGTGCCCCTGGGCCTGAGTGCCTGTGCCCCTGGGCCTGCGTGCCTGAGTGCCTGTGCCCCTGGGCCTGCGTGCCTGAGTGCCTGTGCCCCTGGGCCTGCGTGCCTGAGTGCCTGTGCCCCTGGGCCTGCGTGCCTGAGTGCCTGTGCCCCTGGGCCTGCGTGCCTGAGTGCCTGTGCCCCTGGGCCTGTGTGCCTGAGTGCCTGTGCCCCTGGGCCTGCGTGCCTGTGCCCCTGGGCCTGCGTGCCTGTGCCCCTGGGCCTGTGTGCCTGAGTGCCTGTGCCCCTGGGCCTGCGTGCCTGAGTGCCTGTGCCCCTGGGCCTGTGTGCCTGTGCCCCTGGGCCTGTGTGCCTGTGCCCCTGGGCCTGCGTGCCTGTGCCCCTGGGCCTGCGCGCCTGTGCCCCTGGGCCTGCGCGCCTGTGCCCCTGGGCCTGCGTGCCTGAGTGCCTGTGCCCCTGGGCCTGCGTGCCTGAGTGCCTGTGCCCCTGGGCCTGTGTGCCTGAGTGCCTGTGCCCCTGGGCCTGCGTGCCTGTGCCCCTGGGCCCCTGGGCCTGCGTGCCTGTGTGCCTGTGCCCCTGGGCCTGAGTGCCTGTGCCCCTGGGCCTGTGTGCCTGTGCCCCTGGGCCTGCTTGCCTGTGCCCCTGGGCCCCTGGGCCTGTGTGCCTGAGTGCCTGTGCCCCTGGGCCTGAGTGCCTGTGCCCCTGGGCCTGTGTGCCTGTGCCCCTGGGCCTGCGTGCCTGAGTGCCTGTGCCCCTGGGCCTGTGTGCCTGTGCCCCTGGGCCTGTGTGCCTGTGCCCCTGGGCCTGTGTGCCTGTGCCCCTGGGCCTGCGTGCCTGTGCCCCTGGGCCTGCGCGCCTGTGCCCCTGGGCCTGCGTGCCTGAGTGCCTGTGCCCCTGGGCCTGCGTGCCTGAGTGCCTGTGCCCCTGGGCCTGTGTGCCTGAGTGCCTGTGCCCCTGGGCCTGCGTGCCTGTGCCCCTGGGCCCCTGGGCCTGCGTGCCTGTGTGCCTGTGCCCCTGGGCCTGAGTGCCTGTGCCCCTGGGCCTGTGTGCCTGTGCCCCTGGGCCTGCGTGCCTGTGCCCCTGGGCCCCTGGGCCTGTGTGCCTGAGTGCCTGTGCCCCTGGGCCTGAGTGCCTGTGCCCCTGGGCCTGTGTGCCTGTGCCCCTGGGCCTGCGTGCCTAAGTGCCTGTGCCCCTGGGCCTGCGTGCCTGTGCCCCTGGGCCTGCGTGCCTGAGTGCCTGTGCCCCTGGGCCTGAGTGCCTGTGCCCCTGGGCCTGCGTGCCTGAGTGCCTGTGCCCCTGGGCCTGCGTGCCTGAGTGCCTGTGCCCCTGGGCCTGCGTGCCTGAGTGCCTGTGCCCCTGGGCCTGCGTGCCTGAGTGCCTGTGCCCCTGGGCCTGTGTGCCTGAGTGCCTGTGCCCCTGGGCCTGCGTGCCTGTGCCCCTGGGCCTGCGTGCCTGTGCCCCTGGGCCTGTGTGCCTGAGTGCCTGTGCCCCTGGGCCTGCGTGCCTGTGCCCCTGGGCCTGTGTGCCTGTGCCCCTGGGCCTGTGTGCCTGTGCCCCTGGGCCTGCGTGCCTGTGCCCCTGGGCCTGCGCGCCTGTGCCCCTGGGCCTGCGTGCCTGAGTGCCTGTGCCCCTGGGCCTGCGTGCCTGTGCCCCTGGGCCTGCGTGCCTGAGTGCCTGTGCCCCTGGGCCTGCGTGCCTGAGTGCCTGTGCCCCTGGGCCTGTGTGCCTGAGTGCCTGTGCCCCTGGGCCTGCGTGCCTGTGCCCCTGGGCCCCTGGGCCTGCGTGCCTGTGTGCCTGTGCCCCTGGGCCTGAGTGCCTGTGCCCCTGGGCCTGTGTGCCTGTGCCCCTGGGCCTGCGTGCCTGAGTGCCTGTGCCCCTGGGCCTGAGTGCCTGTGCCCCTGGGCCTGTGTGCCTGTGCCCCTGGGCCTGCGTGCCTGAGTGCCTGTGCCCCTGGGCCTGCGTGCCTGTGCCCCTGGGCCTGCGTGCCTGAGTGCCTGTGCCCCTGGGCCTGAGTGCCTGTGCCCCTGGGCCTGCGTGCCTGAGTGCCTGTGCCCCTGGGCCTGCGTGCCTGAGTGCCTGTGCCCCTGGGCCTGCGTGCCTGAGTGCCTGTGCCCCTGGGCCTGCGTGCCTGAGTGCCTGTGCCCCTGGGCCTGCGTGCCTGAGTGCCTGTGCCCCTGGGCCTGTGTGCCTGAGTGCCTGTGCCCCTGGGCCTGCGTGCCTGTGCCCCTGGGCCTGCGTGCCTGTGCCCCTGGGCCTGTGTGCCTGAGTGCCTGTGCCCCTGGGCCTGCGTGCCTGTGCCCCTGGGCCTGTGTGCCTGTGCCCCTGGGCCTGTGTGCCTGTGCCCCTGGGCCTGCGTGCCTGTGCCCCTGGGCCTGCGCGCCTGTGCCCCTGGGCCTGCGTGCCTGAGTGCCTGTGCCCCTGGGCCTGCGTGCCTGAGTGCCTGTGCCCCTGGGCCTGTGTGCCTGAGTGCCTGTGCCCCTGGGCCTGCGTGCCTGTGCCCCTGGGCCCCTGGGCCTGCGTGCCTGTGTGCCTGTGCCCCTGGGCCTGAGTGCCTGTGCCCCTGGGCCTGTGTGCCTGTGCCCCTGGGCCTGCGTGCCTGAGTGCCTGTGCCCCTGGGCCTGAGTGCCTGTGCCCCTGGGCCTGAGTGCCTGTGCCCCTGGGCCTGCGTGCCTGAGTGCCTGTGCCCCTGGGCCTGCGTGCCTGAGTGCCTGTGCCCCTGGGCCTGCGTGCCTGAGTGCCTGTGCCCCTGGGCCTGCGTGCCTGAGTGCCTGTGCCCCTGGGCCTGCGTGCCTGAGTGCCTGTGCCCCTGGGCCTGTGTGCCTGAGTGCCTGTGCCCCTGGGCCTGCGTGCCTGTGCCCCTGGGCCTGCGTGCCTGTGCCCCTGGGCCTGTGTGCCTGAGTGCCTGTGCCCCTGGGCCTGCGTGCCTGTGCCCCTGGGCCTGTGTGCCTGTGCCCCTGGGCCTGTGTGCCTGTGCCCCTGGGCCTGCGTGCCTGTGCCCCTGGGCCTGCGCGCCTGTGCCCCTGGGCCTGCGTGCCTGAGTGCCTGTGCCCCTGGGCCTGCGTGCCTGAGTGCCTGTGCCCCTGGGCCTGTGTGCCTGAGTGCCTGTGCCCCTGGGCCTGCGTGCCTGTGCCCCTGGGCCCCTGGGCCTGCGTGCCTGTGTGCCTGTGCCCCTGGGCCTGAGTGCCTGTGCCCCTGGGCCTGTGTGCCTGTGCCCCTGGGCCTGCGTGCCTGAGTGCCTGTGCCCCTGGGCCTGAGTGCCTGTGCCCCTGGGCCTGAGTGCCTGTGCCCCTGGGCCTGCGTGCCTGAGTGCCTGTGCCCCTGGGCCTGCGTGCCTGAGTGCCTGTGCCCCTGGGCCTGCGTGCCTGAGTGCCTGTGCCCCTGGGCCTGCGTGCCTGAGTGCCTGTGCCCCTGGGCCTGCGTGCCTGAGTGCCTGTGCCCCTGGGCCTGTGTGCCTGAGTGCCTGTGCCCCTGGGCCTGCGTGCCTGTGCCCCTGGGCCCCTGGGCCTGCGTGCCTGTGTGCCTGTGCCCCTGGGCCTGAGTGCCTGTGCCCCTGGGCCTGTGTGCCTGTGCCCCTGGGCCTGCGTGCCTGAGTGCCTGTGCCCCTGGGCCTGAGTGCCTGTGCCCCTGGGCCTGTGTGCCTGTGCCCCTGGGCCTGCGTGCCTGTGCCCCTGGGCCTGCGTGCCTGAGTGCCTGTGCCCCTGGGCCTGCGTGCCTGTGCCCCTGGGCCTGCGTGCCTGAGTGCCTGTGCCCCTGGGCCTGCGTGCCTGAGTGCCTGTGCCCCTGGGCCTGTGTGCCTGTGCCCCTGGGCCTGCGTGCCTGAGTGCCTGTGCCCCTGGGCCTGTGTGCCTGAGTGCCTGTGCCCCTGGGCCTGCGTGCCTGTGCCCCTGGGCCCCTGGGCCTGCGTGCCTGTGTGCCTGTGCCCCTGGGCCTGTGCCCCTGGGCCTGCGTGCCTGTGCCCCTGGGCCCCTGGGCCTGCATGCCTGTGCCCCTGGGCCTGCGTGCCTGTGCCCCTGGGCCCCTGGGCCTGCATGCCTGTGCCCCTGGGCCCCTGGGCCTGCGTGCCTGTGCCCCTGGGCCTGCGTGCCTGTGCCCCTGGGCCCCTGGGCCTGCATGCCTGAGTGCCTGTGCCCCTGGGCCTGTGTGCCTGAGTGCCTGTGCCCCTGGGCCTGCGTGCCTGTGCCCCTGGGCCTGTGTGCCTGAGTGCCTGTGCCCCTGGGCCTGCGTGCCTGAGTGCCTGTGCCCCTGGGCCCCTGGGCCTGCATGCCTGTGCCCCTGGGCCTGTGTGCCTGAGTGCCTGTGCCCCTGGGCCTGCGTGCCTGAGTGCCTGTGCCCCTGGGCCTGCGTGCCTGAGTGCCTGTGCCCCTGGGCCTGCGTGCCTGTGCCCCTGTGCCCCTGGGCCTGCGTGCCTGTGCCCCTGGGCCTGCGTGCCTGTGCCCTTGGGCCTGCGTGCCTGTGCCCTTGGGCCTGCGTGCCTGTGCCCCTGGGCCTGCGTGCCTGAGTGCCTGTGCCCCTGGGCCCCTGGGCCTGCATGCCTGTGCCCCTGGGCCTGCGTGCCTGTGCCCCTGGGCCCCTGGGCCTGAGTGCCTGTGCCCCTGGGCCTGCGTGCCTGTGCCCCTGGGCCTGCGTGCCTGTGCCCCTGGGCCTGCGTGCCTGTGCCCCTGGGCCTGTGTGCCTGTGCCCCTGGGCCTGCGTGCCTGTGCCCCTGTGCCCCTGGGCCTGCGTGCCTGTGCCCCTGGGCCTGCGTGCCTGTGCCCTTGGGCCTGCGTGCCTGTGCCCTTGGGCCTGCGTGCCTGTGCCCCTGGGCCTGCGTGCCTGAGTGCCTGTGCCCCTGGGCCCCTGGGCCTGCATGCCTGTGCCCCTGGGCCTGCGTGCCTGTGCCCCTGGGCCCCTGGGCCTGAGTGCCTGTGCCCCTGGGCCTGCGTGCCTGTGCCCCTGGGCCTGCGTGCCTGTGCCCCTGGGCCTGCGTGCCTGTGCCCCTGGGCCTGTGTGCCTGTGCCCCTGGGCCTGCGTGCCTGTGCCCCTGGGCCCCTGGGCCTGCATGCCTGTGCCCCTGGGCCTGCGTGCCTGTGCCCCTGGGCCTGTGTGCCTGTGCCCCTGGGCCTGCATGCCTATGCCCCTGGGCCTGTGTGCCTGAGTTCCTGTGCCCCTGGGCCTGCGTGCCTGAGTGCCTGTGCCCCTGGGCCTGCGTGCCTGTGCCCCTGTGCCCCTGGGCCTGCGTGCCTGTGCCCCTGGGCCTGCGTGCCTGTGCCCCTGGGCCTGCGTGCCTGTGCCCCTGGGCCTGCATGCCTGTGCCCCTAGGCCTGTGTGCCTGAGTGCCTGTGCCCCTGGGCCTGCGTGCCTGAGTGCCTGTGCCCCTGGGCCTGCGTGCCTGAGTGCCTGTGCCCCTGGGCCTGCGTGCCTGAGTGCCTGTGCCCCTGGGCCTGTGTGCCTGAGTGCCTGTGCCCCTGGGCCTGCGTGCCTGAGTGCCTGTGCCCCTGGGCCTGCGTGCCTGTGCCCCTGGGCCTGCGTGCCTGAGTGCCTGTGTCCCTGGGCCTGCGTGCCTGTGCCCCTGTGCCCCTGTGCCTGCGTGCCTGTGCCCTTGGGCCTGTGTGCCTGTGCCCTTGGGCCTGCGTGCCTGTGCCCCTGGGCCTGCGTGCCTGTGCCCCTGTGCCCCTGGGCCTGCGTGCCTGTGCCCCTGGGCCTGCGTGCCTGTGCCCCTGTGCCCCTGGGCCTGTGTGCCTGTGCCCTTGGGCCTGCGTGCCTGTGTCCTTGGGCCTGCGTGCCTGTGTCCTTGGGCCTGCGTGCCTGTGCCCTTGGGCCTGCGTGCCTGTGCCCCTGGGCCTGCGTGCCTGTGCCCTTGGGCCTGCGTGCCTGTGCCCCTGGGCCTGCGTCCCGCCCCTGGGCCTGCGTGCCTGTGCCCTTGGGCCTGCGTCCCGCCCCTGGGCCTGGCTGTAGGGCCGGTCCACATCCACTCGGCCTGGCCAGGGTGCTTGGGTGGTGCTTGGGCCGGCTCTTGCTTGCGGGAGTTTGTAGGTCAGGGCAGCCGTCGTCATCTACGCAGGTGCCTGGAGCCACAGCAGGCACAGAGCGCCCTCTCCAGCTTTCTAACGTCTGGTGGGGTGGGGGCTTCCGTGGGCCACAGGCACTGCGGAGGCCCCACGGCCGGATGGGGTTCATCCCCAGCTTCTGAGGGAGGCAGGCCCTGACAATGGCTTTCCCAACCCCCTGACTGGGGGTCCCGTCAGCCAGCCGCCACCTCCACCAGGCCCTCAGCACTGACACTCAGATGAGCTCGAGGGCAGCAGCCAGCCGCAGGGCAGCGGGCTGTCCTAGATTCCTGCTAAGCCTGGACGTGGGCGGGCACTGTGCCCACACTCGCTGGGCATGTCTGCAGAAGGGTGTGCGTGGCTTGTGCCCACGTGGCAGCCGGGCCCGGGCCGCCCTGCAGGTCCCATCGCCTCCTCCATAAACGGATTCTCTGGGGATCCTGCTGAGAGCGTTCCTTCCCTCGGGGTGGGCTGTCCCCGTCCCTGTGTGACGGGATGGCCCCGTCCTGTCCCTGTGTGTGACGGGATGGCCCCATCCTGTCCCTGTGTGTGACGGGATGGCCCCATCCTGTCCCTGTGTGTGACGGGATGGCCCCATCCTGTCCCTGTGTGTGACGGGATGGCCCCGTCCTGTCCCTGTGTGTGACGGGATGGCCCCGTCCTGTCCCTGTGTGTGACGGGATGGCCCCGTCCTGTCCGTGTGTGACGGGATGGCCCCGTCCTGTCCCTGTGTGTGACGGGATGGCCCCGTCCTGTCCGTGTGTGACGGGATGGCCCCATCCTGTCCCTGTGTGTGACGGGATGGCCCCGTCCTGTCCCTGTGTGACGGGATGGCCCTGTCCCTGTGTGACAGGATGGCCCTGTCCCTGTGTGTGATGGGAGGGTGGGGTCTGTTCTCTGATTGGTGGGGGAGGCGGTGAGCAGGCTGGGCCGGGTGCTTGTTCCCCGCACTAACTCTGGTGTGTGCTGCAGCCCTACCTGCCCCGCATCCTGAACGGTTTGGCCTCGGAGAAGACAGCGCTGTCCCTGCATCAGCCGCAGACCTATGGCGCCGTCCGTGATGACGGGGTGCTGCCTGGGCATGGTGCCGTCCACAGCGTCGGAGAGCCGCTCCCTGGGCAGTGCTCGGCCCACAGCCCCGAGAGCCGCGCGGCAGGTGCCTACCAGGAGGCCTGAGGCCGGGGCATGCTCGAGGAAGCTGCTGCCGGGCCGGGCCTGTCCGTGTGCCGCATGCTGTGTGCCGCCTGCCTGCTGCTCGGCCCATGGCCAGGGTGGGGGCGGGGCCGCAGCTAAGCCTCTGTTTTGTCAGGGGAGGCGCGGTGCCCCCCCCCCTGCTGTGGGGCTCTCTGGGACCCTGGAAGGACTGTGGACGATGGGTGTGTTTGCACGAGGCGCGGCGCTGCACAGTGGACAGCCACATGGGCTCATGCACAGGCGTGGCATGATGCACGGCTCAGGGCCGCAGCCTGGGCAGGCCTGGCCCGTGGGCCAAGAGGGGCAGTCACCCCCCCCCCCCCCCCCGCCATGCCACGGCCGGACCGGGGTGGGCAGGGATAATAAAGCGTCCGTTGAGCCGGCCTGGTGTGCAGCCTCCCGCCTCCATTCCACCCCAGCCCCAATCCCATGCCCTGCAGCTTCCTCCAGACCTGACCCGGCCCGGCCTGGCCCTGCCCACCCCTGGGCTCCGCCTGGGCCTGCTGGGCTGTGCTCGGCTTTCTTGAGCCAGTTGGCCCACTGCTGCTGTCGTGGAGGGCCCGAGCTGGCAGCCCCTTGGGGCCTGGCCCCCGCCCTGCAGCCTCCGGGACAGGCCTGGCCTGCACTCTGCAGGCTCAGACCCCAGGGCTGTTGGGCACCACAGCCCTCACTTGGCTGGAAGCTGCTCATAGAAGTGAGATGATTTATTACCAAAGCTGAGCACAGGCTGGGCGGGGAAGGGGCCGGGAGCTCATTCCTCAGGCTTCTCCTCTCTAAGCAGCTGTGGGCGAGCGGGCAGGGCTGGGCTGGGCTGGGCCGGGCCGGGCAGGGCAGGGCCGGGCAGGGCCCCCGAAGCTGACCGGCTGTCACTGCCGACCCACCATTGCCACGAACTTGCGGATGTCCTGGGCAAGCAGCCTGGGCTCCTCGAAGGCGGCGAAGTGGCCCCCGGCCGCCATGTAGGAGTAGGAGAGGAGTCTGGGGTACTTGGCCCTCACCCACTTCTCAGGGAGGTGCAGCAGCTCAGAAGGGAAGGCAGCAAAGCCGGTGGGCACGAAGACCTTCATCCTGGAAGGGACGGGGTTTGCCAGGGCGAAGCTGTGCCTGCCTTCCCCAAGCCAGGGCAGACACCAGGGCTCCGGCCTCCCGCGCCCCGAGTCCTCTTCAGGGGGCTCCCAGCCTCACTGCACCCCCCCCACCTCCCGAGGGGACAGCAAGGGTCAGGCCATGGCCACGCCTGGCCCCGGGCAGCCCTGATGGACACTGGGGCCACGCCTGGCCTCCACAGCTCATCGTGCTATGACACGGCCTCGGATGCCCGACCTCCGGCTGGGCTGCGCCTCCCCCCCCCCCCCCCCGGCCAGGCTCACCGCTCATGCTTGTGGGCCATCAGGCCCTGGCCCATGTTCTCCTTGTAGAAGCGCTGGGAGGAGACGATGGAGCCCGTGGTCCAGTACAGCATGATGTTGGTCAGCAGCTCGTCCAGGGTGAACTTCCTGGGAAGGCAGCAGGGAGAAGGCTCTCTGGTTGGCAGGGCGCCCACACAAGAGGAGGCAGCAGACGCGGGCCCTGAGCTGCGCCCGTGCAGCCAGCGTTCCTGGATTCAGCGGCAGCCCACGGGGAGGGCACGGGGAGGGCACGCTTGCTCCTTACCACCACTCTGGGGCGGGGCCGGGCCGGGTCCCAGGGGCGGGGCCGGGCCGGGTCCCAGGGGCGGGGCCAGGCCGCGTCTCTGGGTCTCAGGCTTGTGCCCATGGCAGAGGCCAGACGGCCCCACCCAGGTTCTGGCCTCAGCCATTTTGCTGATGAGACCCAGGAAGCCGGCAATTGTGGATTCTCCCAGTGCCCGGCGCTCACACCAGGCAGGCTCACGTGGGCATGCTCGCACCCCGGCGTGTGCCTACCACACCTGTGTGCACCCACCACGCCCGCCGCATCTGCACCTGCGCTCACACTAGCACCCTGTGGGTGGCCACATTTGACCAGTGCACACCCACATCCGTACCTGTGCACACTCACTCAAGTGCCACAGTGCGGAAGAGCTCACACTCACTCCTGGGGGTGTCCCTCTTCATCTGTCCTAGCTGGCAAAGTGGCGTTTCCAGGCCTGCACCCATCCGGAAACCGGGGTCCCTGTGGCCCAGGACCGCCCCGAGCGGGGATGGGCAGAACGGGGCCTGGCCCAGCTCTACCCCAGGGACGGGTTGTGTGGTGGGTGGTGGTGGGAGCCTGGCGTTCACAGACGTATTTAAATGGTTTGGTTGGCACTGAGCGGCTCTCATAGTCTGGAGAATGACATTAAAAAGGACTTGGACTTGGCCGCTGTTCTTGCACCGTCAGGACCTCGGAGGGAAGGGATGAGGGACGGCTCCACTTCGAGTGACCGCGCCCTCCCTCCCCTGAACCCCCTCCCCTGCAGGCCCCGCCTAGTCCTGAACCCTCACTGCCTCCCTTCCTGGCCGGGAGCTTAGGGTCCCTCGCCCACCGGTACCTCCCCTCCGCAGCCCCTGAGTTCGAACTCAGAGCCTCAGGCTTGCTAAGCAGGTGCTCTGGCCCTCTCCTGGGGGCCGTTTTCAAGGGGAGGCTTGGTTTACCTCTGGGCTGCAATCCTGTCCCGGCTTCCCCAGCCTCCGGGCACGGTGCCCAGCCATTGTGCTTTTTTGGGCAATTAGGATAACAGGAGGGCACCCCACACCCAGCCACGGGTTAAGATGGCGTCTCGGGCACTTTTTTGGCCAGGGCTGGCCTCAAACATCCTAGACAACGAGGACCACAGGCCTGGGGCACCCGGGGTAGGGCCTGCGGCAGGGGCAGGGACCTCACTCCATTGAGTACAGGCAGAGATGGGGCAAGGGGCACTGGACCGGTCCTGAAGTCAGGCTGCGGGGCTCACCTCTCCAGGCCGCCATCCTCCAGGTCTCGGAAGCTCGAGTCCGTCCAGGTGGAGAACTTCTCCAGGATGTAAGCAGCCAGGCCTACAGGGGAGTCATTCAGAGCAGAGCCTGCAAAGACAGCACAGGGGACTCAGGCTGGCCCCAGGACCGAGGTGTGGGCGCTGCACAGGATCAGGGTCTGGCACCCCTCTGCCTGCACCCCACTCGCCACCCTCAGCTCCTACAGCCTCACTGTGGAGCAAAACAACCCTCCCACATCTTCAGGGCCAGTCTGTGAGCATCTCCCTCCAAGCCGGGGGGCTAGCGAGGTCTGAGTGAGACAAAACAAGACACGCTGACAGAACGTGCACACGTGAACGCACACACATGCACACACGCACGTGCACACATGCATGCATGCACACACATGCACATGCACACACGCATGTGCACACACACATGCATAGGCACACATGTGCACGTGCCCTCACACGCACTCTGGTGCTCAGAAGCAGGGCTTCATGCACACTAAGTGAGCGCTCTGGGACAGCCACCGTCCATCCCGTCCACAGTGCTGCTAACAAGCACACAGGTCTGCACCCTGGTGTGAAGCGCTGCAGACCTCCACGCATCCCGCCTGTGGAGTCCGGCACACCACCCCACGGCAGGGCTGGGGCGCAGCCTCTGGGCAGGAGCCGGCTTGCACACCCAGGGTGGTACTCACAGCCATCCCAGGGACCCACAGGGGAAATGCAGCAGCACACGGTGACCCTTCCCATGGGGCCTCAGGGGTCGAGGGTCCAGGGTCAGCAGTGAGGTCACCCCCAGGATGCAGGGTCAGCAGAGAGGACCCCGTGCCCTGGGTGGTCTTCTGGGGACATGGGGTGTACTTTGCTCCGTGGCACTTTGGGGCTGATGGGTGATGTCATTCATCACCAGACAGGGGCTCGCCTCCACCACTAGAGGGTGCCGGGGAGGGGTCGCGGCCTCCACCACCAGACAGGTCAGTAGTGACCCCCAGCCTCCACCACCAGACAGGTCACTAGTGACCCCCAGCCTCCACCACCAGACAGGTCAGTAGTGACCCCCGGCCTCCACCACCAGACAGGTCAGTAGTGACCCCTCCCCGCAGGGTCAGTAGGAGACTGGTCCCTGCCTGTCATCCACCTGTCCTCTTTCCCCCCTCCGGCCCCCACTCACCCACGGTGTCCGGCTTGGTGGCCTGGATGTGCAGGTACCCGCTCTCCCTCATGATGCTGTAGAACACCTTCTCCTTGACCGGAAACAGCAGCTCCATGTCCCTGTCCGTGAAGCCCAGGAATCTCCCGAAGCGCCGTCCCAGGAGCAGCGACAGGGTTTGGAAGTTTCTCAAGACCAAAGCCATGTTCAAGTGCAGGCCCTTCACGTGGCTGAGGGCAGAGAAGAGGCCGGGCCGGGCGCAGGCTGAGGCGCTGGGCAGTGTCAGGGCACCTCTCCCACCCCTCCGCTCCCCTGCACAGCAGCCCCACCCCAGGAGCCCTAGCCACGCACACGCTGGCGCCGGCACCACCCACCTGGGCGCCATCTGGGCCATGTTGGTGCAGATCAGGGACCCCCAGTCTCCCCCTTGAATGTAGAAGCTCTGGAAGCCCAAGCGCCGCATCAGCTTGTAGAAGATCCTGGCGGTGGCCACGGAGTCGAGGCCTGGTGTGAGGGGATGGGCAGAGTTGTCACGGGGGGGGTCCCCGGGCACCTGTGAAGCCCCCCAGACCCACCTCCCTCCACACAGAGGTGACGGTTCATGGAGGGGGGTCCCCGGGCACCTGTGAAGCCCCCCAGACCCACCTCCCTCCACACAGAGGTGACGGTTCACGGAGGGGGGTCCCCGGGCACCTGTGAAGCCCCCCAGACCCACCTCCCTCCACACAGAGGTGACAGTTCACGGGGGGGGGTCCTGTGAAGCCCCCCAGACCCACCTCCCTCCACACAGAGGTGACAGTTCACGGGGGGGGTACTGTGAAGCCCCCCAGACCCACCTCCCTCCACACAGAGGTGACGGTCCCCGGGCACCTGTGAAGCCCCCCAGACCCACCTCCCTCCACACAGAGGTGACAGTTCACGGGGGGGGCGTCCTGTGAAGCCCCCCAGACCCACCTCCCTCCACACAGAGGTGACGGTTCACGGAGGGGGGTCCCCGGGCACCTGTGAAGCCCCCCAGACCCACCTCCCTCCACACAGAGGTGACAGTTCACGGAGGGGGGTCCCCGGGCACCTGTGAAGCCCCCCAGACCCACCTCCCTCCACACAGAGGTGACAGTTCACGGGGGGGGTCCTGTGAAGCCCCCCAGACCCACCTCCCTCCACACAGAGGTGACGGTTCCCAGGGGGGGTCCTGTGAAGCCCCCCAGACCCACCTCCCTCCACACAGAGGTGACGGTTCATGTTGGGGGGGGGTTGTCCCCAAGGTGGGGTCCCGCAGCTGTAGGAGGCGGGGGTGAGGGTCTGGGCCATGCTCAGGGGGAGAGCTCTGCTGCCTAGCCCTCGCCGCCACAGGCAGGCCTGTGGCGACCGTCCCTCTGCTGGCTGGGCCGGCCTGTGGGGCGGCCTCAGCCCCTACCTTTCTTGCTGGAGGCCTGGGAGAAGCCGTAGCCAGGGATGGAAGGGCAGATGACTTCGAAGACCTGCTGGTCGCCGAGGCCATGGCTCCCAGGGTCTGTGAGCAGTGGGATGATCTTGTAGAACTCGTAGAAGGAGCCGGGCCAGCCATGCACCATCATCAAGGGCTCCGGGCTCCGGCCCGAGGGCACCTGGGCAGGCTTCACATGGATGAAGTGGATGTCCAGCCCTGCGGACAGAGCACAGGCAGCCGATGTGTGTCTGGGGAGGCCTGGGCCCCAGCCCCGGCCCCATGCTCCAGGCCTGCATGGAGAGCAGCATCACCACCCCACAGAGCCTGCGCTCGGGGATGCACAGGTCTGGCCACGCAGCACTGGACCCCAGGGTCCAGCGTCCAGCCCCAGACGGCCACACAAATGCTTGTTCTAACAAGTTGGGGAAGGGGTCATCAGACAGAGGATTCACCGACAGTTAATTGGCTGGAGTGCAATTCAGTCGAGTGAGGCAAGCTTGCACACACAAGTGTACTTATCTAACCAGAAAACAGTGACACCATGTGATAAAAGCAAATTACAGTTGGGCACTGGGGCTCACGCCTGTAATCCTAGCTACTCAGGAGGATGGGGTTTGAGAGTCAGGGTTCAAAGCTGGCTTGAGCAGGAAAGTCTGCGAGACTCTTACCTTTGTTTAAAAAACAAAAAAGGAGCCAGCAGTGGAACTGTGGCTCAAGTGGTAGAGCACTATGAGTACAAAAAGCTCAGGGATAGTGCCCACGCCCCAAGTTTGAGTCCCAGGACTGACACCAAAATAACAGTAAGTCACGACGCTCTGCTGCACACCGTGTGATCCTGCTTTTGCGAAGTACCTCTGTGTATGGCACATTGCTCCACGGCCATCTAGAGTCAGCAGCTTTGTAACCTCATCACCATGGCAGGGAGTGGCGGCATCGGGCTTGCTTAGCAGGAGGCCCGGGCTCGGGGGCTAGCGCCACAGCCCAGGCACCGCGCCTGGTGCCACAGAGGCTCGCGTCCCAAGAGTGGTTTTCACGCGCACCTCACCCTGCACCATTGTAAAGAGAAGACACGGTAAACAGAGCCACTGCGAGTGTGTGCTGCCGCACGCTGCCAGCCGAGACTGGCGAGACTGAGCTTTGCCCAGCCTGGCCTCCGCCTCCGTCCTCAGCTCTGTTTAGCAGCCGGTGACACGGGCACACATGTCCTGTGCGTGTCCTGCAAGGCCTTGCTTTTCACTGGATGTCTTCTCTCTGTCCAGGACCCTGTCCACAGCACCAGTACACATCTCCTTAGACTCGTGACGGTTCAAACTTTAAAAAGTAGCTAGAGAACATGCTAGAGAACATGGCTCCTCTTAACGAGAACAGGGCAATCCAGGCCACTCTGGAGCTTTGTTTTTCTCTCCCTTAATCCGTCCGGGGTACCTTCCACGCTGCTCAGCTTACTCTTATCCGGGGTTTATTTCAGTAGGTAATTGTATCTTTTCTGGGAAGTGCTGCCTGACGTGGGATTATTATTATTATTTTTTTTTATTTTGGGCCCGGTCGTAGGGCCTGAACTCTAGTCTGGGCGCTGTCCCTCAGCTCTTCAGCTCAAGGCTAGCACTCTACCACTTGAGCCACAGCGCCACTTCCGGCTTTTTTCTTTTTGTTTATGTGGTGCTGAGGAATCGAACCCAGGGCCTCATGCATGCAAGGCAAGCGCTCTACCACTGAGCCACCTTCCCAGCCCACGTGGGATTATTTTTAATCTGAATTCTACCAATTCACCGCTTGAGTTTTACATGGAAGAAAGAAGCGTGCGTCCCCGCATGCGTCACCTGTGGCCAGGCTCAGCTCCGCCTCTCCACACACTGCACTGTGGAGACAGACACGTCGTCTCCTCATTATTATCGTCATTGTCGTCATCATTGCTAGCATACACAACGCGTGTGCTCTACCCCTGGGCCTGCTCTGTCTCCACAGCTGGCCGGGCCTACAGGACACTCTGCAGCTCAGACTCGGGCAGCTCAGACTCGGGCAGCTGAGCGTGTGCAGGCCGCGGGCTCGGTGGGGATGTGGAGGCCCGAGGCCGGAGCCCCGCCCTGGTGGGGCATCCTGCCTCTCTGGATGGGGGCCCAGACCCACCCAGGGGACGATGGCTGAGAGGCCAGTGTGGGGTGAACCTGGGCTCCTCACAGAACACACCAGGAAGGGATGGACAGGGGCAGAAGGAGGCTGCTGCTTAGCGTCCGAGCCAGGGATGTGGGGTCAGAGTGGGGTAGGAAGGGCCCTGGAAACAGACTAGCAGGACACAAAGCAGAAGAGCTTTCCTGAATGCCCAGCCGGGGGCCAGGGGGGCTGAAGAGTGGAAGGCCTGAGGGCCTGGGGGCCGAGGCCAGCATGGGCGCTGCGGTGGGCTGGAGAGCAGAGGCCACTTCGAGAAAGCAGAAAAGGAAAGGAAGGGGAGAGAGGAAGGAAGGGAGGGAGGGAGGAGGGAAGGAAGGAGAGGGAGGAAGGGGAAGGAAGGGAAGAGAGAGAGGAAGGAAGGGAGGGAGGGAGGGAGGAGAGAGGAAGGAGAGGGAGGAAGGGGAAGGAAGGGAAGAGAGAGGAAGGAAGGGAGGGAGAGAGGGAGGAGGGAGGAGGGAAGGAAGGAGAGGGAGGAAGGGGAAGGAAGGGAAGAGAGAGGAAGGAAGGGAGGGAGGGAGGGAGGGAGGAGGGAGGGAGGGAGAGGGAGGAAGGGGAAGGAATGGAAGAGAGAGAGGAAGGAAGGGAGGGAGGGAGGGAGGAGGGAAGGAAGGAAGGAAGGAAGGGGAAGGAAGGAAGGAAGGAAAGAGAGGAAGGAATCAGATAAGGTGGTGCACACTTACAGGCCCAACACTCAGGAGGCTGAGGTAGGAGGATCACTGGTTCAAAGCCAGCCTGGGCTACGTAGTAAGATCACATCTCAAAAAATCCAAATCATAACAATAAAAGGAAGCAAAGAGGTATCATCAAGTATCACTGAACGCAGGGGCCCATGCCTGTAATCCGTGTAAGGTCGGCCTGATCAAGCAGTTTGCAAGACTCTCAGTAGCAAACTGAGCTTGATGATTCACGCTGTAATCCTAGCGGCCTGGGAGGCATCAAAGGAGTCACAGCCTGAGAACAGCTGTGGACAGAAAGCCTGGCCCCTCACTGAGAAAGCAAGAAGGACCGGGCTGCTGTTTAGGTGGGAAGCACTTGCCTAGCACACTTGGGGCTGAGTCCAAATCCTAATCCGCCCAGACTACAGACAGACGACGACAAAAAGGTACTGACGGTGATTTGGACAACTGCACCCGGGCACCATTGGCTGGAATGGACAACGGTGCATTAGAACGCATCTGAGCTCCTCAAAAACCAATCACAGAACTCTGCTTCCGGACAGCAGCCAGGAGAGCGGGACATCACGTCTTAAAGAGCCGTGTGCGGGCTGGGAAGGTGGCTCAGTGGTAGAGTGCTTGCCTTGCATGCCTGAGGCCCTGGGTTCGATTCCTCAGCACCACATAAGCAAAAAGAAAAAAGCCGGAAGTGGCGCTGTGGCTCAAGTGGTAGAGCGCTAGCCTTGAGCTGAAGAGCTGAGGGACAGCGCCCAGGCCCAGAGTTCAGGCCCCATGACCGAACCCCCCCCAAAAAAAGAGTCATGCGCACACCTGTGGGGGCAGCAAACCACCCACAGGTGGCAAAGCTCCCCTGGCAAGTGATCTCCAGCCCCCCCCCCCCCCAGAAGGGGATTCTGAGGCCGGCGGCAGTGCGTGCAAGCGAGCAGGCCCAGCTCGGGGGAGGCAGACCAGACGCACAGGACAACTGTGTGCTGCCTCCCAGGGAGTCCAGCCACAGAACGGGGGATCTGAGGGGGCGGGGGGCGGGGGCGGGGAGGGGCCGCGGGAGCCACTGTTTCCAGAGGCTGAGTTTCAGCTGGGACAAGAGCTGAGCCTCACCTGCCCGAGTCCCGCCAGGGGGCCACGCAAAACGGCTAAGGTGGAAGATTTCTTCTGTGTATGTTACCACAATAAAACTTAAGCCCTCACAGTACGTTATGGTCTAATAAGCTTAGATGGTTTAAAACGTCCACATCTGACTCAAGATCTGTGGTTAAAAATACTCTTCTTGGGGCCTGCCCAAGAAGAAGCGGCGCACGTCTCTCCTGGGTGTGTCTCTCAGGAGATGGCCTGAGCCACACGGCCTGAGCCGGCAGCTCCTGTGCTGAGCCCCTCACCACAGTCAGGCACCTGAGAACGCCAAGCCCGCGGGGGCTGGCCTGGCCCGGCCCTGCCCGGCCTCCCCAACCCCCCCCCCCCCCTCCGGCCCCGGCAGAACCCAGCCCGGCCTGGCCTCCCCAGCCAGCCTCCCCAGCCCCGGCAGAGCCTGGCAGAGCCCAGCCCAGCCCGGCCTCCCCAGCCCCGGCAGAGCCCGGCAGAGCCCAGCCCAGCCCGGCCTCCCCAGCCCCGGCAGAACCCAGCCCGGCCTGGCCTCCCCAGCCAGCCTCCCCAGCCCCGGCAGAGCCCAGCCCAGCCCGGCCTCCCCAGCCCCCCCCAGCCCCGGCAGAACCCAGCCCGGCCTGGCCTCCCCAGCCCCGGCAGAGCCCAGCCCGGCCCAGCCTCCCCAGCCCCCCCCAGACCCCCCCAGCCCCGGCAGAGCCCAGCCCCCCCCAGCCCCGGCAGAGCAGAGCCCAGCCCAGCCCGGCCCGGCCCGGCCTCCCCTGCCCGGCCTCTGCAGCCCCAGCAGAGCCCAGCCCAGCCCAGCCTGGCCTCCCCAGCCCTGGCAGAGCCCAGACCAGCCCGGCCTCCCCAGCCAGCCTCCCCAGCCCCGGCAGAGCCCAGCCCCGGCAGAGCCCAGCCCAGCCCAGTCCGGCCTCCCCAGCCCTCCCAGCCCCGGCAGAGCCCAGCCCGGCCCAGCCTCCCCAGCCCGGCCTCCGCAGCATGGCAACCTCAGGCTGGACGGCCGTGTTCCTGGGCGGCGCCCTGACCAGGGGTTTGCTGACGTGAGGACCTGTCTCTGCATTCAGCAAGATGACACATGCAACACCTCTGTGGCGTCCGCGTCCCGGCACCGCGCAGGACGCCGCCCGTGCCCATGCCGGCCGTGGTGCCTGAGGCTCACCTTCGATGGTGGTCTTGAAGTGAGGGTACTGGTTGAGGAGCTCCACCTGCTTCCTCCAGTCAAAGTCATTCCGCCAGTAGGAGAGGACTTTCTTCAGGTAGCTGGAGTTGAAGCCATAGTGGAAACGGCTGTCCTCTAAAGGTGCAGTCCAGCGAAACCTGTCAATCCGCTGGTGCAAATCCTGGGGTAAACAGAAGGGCGGGCTGGGCACCGGTGCTCACGCCTGGCATCCCAGTACTCAGGAGGCAGAGATATGCAGATCAGGTTCCAAGCCAGTCCAGACAAAAAAAGCCTGAGAGACTCTTTGTCTCCAATTAGCTACCAAAAAGCTAGATGTGGAGCTGTGGCTCGGGTGGTACACACTAGCCTTGAGGACAAAGGCTCAGGAACAGGGCGCAGGCCCTGAGTTCAAGCCCCAGGAAGGCATCAAGAAGACCTGATTCCCCAACACAGAGCCACCCAGAGGCTGGCAAAGCTCCCACCCCACTGCCCCCCCCCCCAGGGCCCCAGGCTCTGCCCTGTGGACCTTCTCTCTCCTCCCCTCCCCTTTCCCCCGCCTCCCTTGCTGGACCCTGGGGCTTGCCTGTGTGCGCCTCCACCCTTGCCTTTGGCTTGCTAAACATGAAAATACTCGGTTTGAGTCTCCTGAGGCTTCTATGGGGCCCTGGCCGCCTCTCTGTAGGACAGGCATGGAGAGGCAGCCCGGCCAGTGAGTGCCAGGAGGGCAGCATGCTCCATGACCCTGTTTGCATGCTGAAATCCAAACGCCCTAAGATGGCCCCATGCCACCAAGTACTTCTCTTCTTTTGACTTCGTCCTGTGCCCGTTGAAAGGTAACAATGGTCCTGACATGGGCGAGGCAGACCAGGCAGGCGGCTGCATGCGGCCTCTGCCAGCCTCTGCTCTGTGCCGCGGGGTGGAGGGGCGGGCACAGGCCGGGCCGGATCTGCACGCTGCTCTGGGGACGGGACGGGGGGGGGGGGGGGGTCTCCAATATCCTACAGGACAAAGCCGCAGGGCTTGGCTCCCCCCAGGCCCCAGGCAGGAGCCTACTTTCTCCCGAGCTTCTCTTCATACTTCCTCCTCTGAACTCCCATGCCTTCTCACCACGGGTCCTTCCGGAACTTCCTGCATGCCCCTCACTCACCCACCATGAGCTCTGCCTCCTCCCAGGCCCGCAGGGTGCCTGTGCCCAGCCGTGCCACAGGGTGAAGGGGCAAAGGGCAGGGCTGTGCCCAGTCCAGCCACCCCATGCCTGGGGAAGCCTGGCTCCCCGTCCAGCCTCCCGCCCCCCGCCCCTGCCCCGTGCCTGGGGAAGCCTGGCTCCCCGTCCAGCCCCCCACCCCCCACCCCTGCCCCATGCCTGGGGAAGCCTGGCTCCCCGTCCAGACCCCCCACCCCCCGCCCCTGCCCCATGCCTGGGGAAGCCTGGCTCCCCATCCAGACCCCCTACCCCCGCCCCTGCCCCATGCCTGGGGAAGCCTGGCTCCCCGTCCAGCCCCTCACCCCCCACCCCTGCCCCATGCCTGGGGAAGCCTGGCTCCCCGTCCAGACCCCCCACCCCCCGCCCCTGCCCCATGCCTGGGGAAGCCTGGCTCCCCATCCAGACCCCCTACCCCCCGCCCCTGCCCCATGCCTGGGGAAGCCTGGCTCCCCGTCCAGCCCCCCACCCCCCGCCCCTGCCCCATGCCTGGGGAAGCCTGGCTCCCCGTCCAGCCCCCCACCCCCCGCCCCTGCCCCATGCCTGGGGAAGCCTGGCTCCCCATCCAGACCCCCTACCCCCCGCCCCTGCCCCATGCCTGGGGAAGCCTGGCTCCCCGTCCAGCCCCCCACCCCCCGCCCCTGCCCCATGCCTGGGGAAGCCTGGCTCCCCGTCCAGCCTCCTGCCCCCCGCCCCTGCCCCATGCCTGGGGAAGCCTGGCTCCCCGTCCAGCCTCCCGCCCCCCCACCCCTCACCACAGGTCCAGCTCTGTGCAGGGCAGGGGAAGCAGTCCTGGGGTTCATTGAGTTCAAATCCTGCTTCTTAGCTCGGCCCTGGACAAATCACTGTGCGGCTAAACATTGTTTCTACTTGACCTGCCTCACCACGCCTCAGAGACCAGGTGGCCAGGCTGGCCCTGCCTCTCCAGCCACCCAGCTTCCTGTGGGCCTCAGGAGAGGGGACAGCCACTCTGTGGCCTAGCCCTCTCTCCTCCTGGAGCCTGATGCCAAGCTGGGTCTCCTCAGAGGAGCTCACACAGAAGAAAGGCCAGGAGGGTAACTTCCTGAGCCCAGCCCACCACACCCCATGTGCACCCCAGCGCCCTTCAGCCCCCAGTGCCCTGCTGCCCCTCTGCCCTGCAGCCCCCCCACCCTGCAGCCCCCCACCCTGCAGCCCCCTGTCCTGCAGCCCCCCACCCTGCAGCCCCCACCCTGCAGCCCCCCGTCCTGCAGCCCTGCAGCCCCCCACCCTGCAGCCCCCACCCTGCAGCCCTGCAGCCCCCACCCTGCAGCCCCCCGTCCTGCAGCCCCCCACCCTGCAGCCCCCCGTCCTGCAGCCCCCCGTCCTGCAGCCCCCCATCCTGCAGCCCCCCATCCTGCAGCCCCTCCTGTCCTGCAGCCCTGCACCCTGCAGCCCCCCGTCCTGCAGCCCCCCACCCTGCAGCTCCCCACCCTGCAGCCCCCCACCCTGCAGCCCCCCACCCTGCAGCCCCCGTCCTGCAGCCCCCCGTCCTGCAGCCCCCCATCCTGCAGCCCCCCGTCCTGCAGCCCCTCCTGTCCTGCAGCCCTGCACCCTGCAGCCCCCCGTCCTGCAGCCCCCCCGTCCTGCAGCCCCCCGTCCTGCAGCCCCCCCGTCCTGCAGCCCCCCGTCCTGCAGCTCCCCCCACCCTTGCAAACTCCCCCCCTGCCCTGTAGCCCCCCTCCCCGCCCTGCAGCCCCCAGCAGAAGGGGCCTCACGTTGATCTCGTCATCCGAAGTCTCCACCTTGAAAGGCCGGATGCTCTGGTCCTCTGTGTCTGAGGGCGGGGCTCCTGGCCCCCACCACCCATCCCCGAGAGGCAGCCTCTCCTCCTTGTCCCTGGCGGTGAACCAGTAGTAGACAGCCAAGCCCAGCACCAAGGCCAGGAGGACTCCGAGCCACATGATGCCTGCAGTAAGCGAATAAGAGAAGCGCCGTCAGCCAGAGACATGGTGGGGCCTGGGGCCGGGCTGAGGGGAGGCTGGGCTGAGGGGAGGCCGGGCTGAGGGGAGGCCGGGCTGAGGGGAGGCCGGGCTGAGGGGAGGCTGGGCTGAGGGGAGGCCGGGCTGAGGGGAGGCCGGGCTGAGGGGCTCCCAGGCCCCCACCCTACCCCACGAAGACACAAGGGGTGCTGGGACGGGCTCACCACAAGCCGGAGGCCACGCCCATCCAGCCGCACGGAGGGATCTCCAGCTCAAAATACCCTAGTCACCTTCCCTTGTTTCTAGGGCACCGCGATGTAAACCAGGTCTAGCACAGGACAGGGAGTGGCTCCACCAGTGGGCAGCACAGCTCTGGGCCACGTCTCTCCCACGAGGAGAGGCCAGTACTCCTACCCAGCCCCACACACACCTCGGTGTGAGCAGGCCGCTCATACCTGCGGTCCCGTGTGCGTGGACCGGTCCCCTGGCAGCTGAGCGGGCCGCTCACACCTGCAGCCTCAGCCTCTCCAGGCACAGAGATCTGAGGCCTGCCTGGGCAAAAAGCTGGGTGTGGTGATTTATAACCGACCTCTCAGCTATGCAGGCAACATGACAGGAAGGCCAAGGCCCAGGCAACCCAAGACACCATCCAAAGAGCAACTTGGGAGTGTGGCCCACGTGGTAGAGTGCCTGCCTGACAAGTGCAAATAAAACCTCAACAGGAGACCAAAAGCCTCTGTGTGCCTCCTCCACGGCCCCAGGGGGGCCTATCCCCCCTGCCAACACCACCGCTCAGAGAAGCTGCCAGGTGCACTCTGTCAGAGGCTGTCTGGATGGGGGTCCAGACTGGCTTTGAATGGACTCAGGAGATCCTCCGCTTGTCTCCCTAGTCCCAGGAACTGCAGGCATGCGCACACATGTGTAGCCACCGGCTTTGCTTTCTTAGGTAGGAAGTGTATGTTGTGAGAGCCCAAAAAGACCCGGAAGGGATTGGGAGTTTGCAATGCCTTCTCCCAATACACTCTCAGATCACTGAGAGTTTTCTGGAAAGGTCAATCAGTCCTGGCTTAACAGGAACTCAGATTCCAACCTAAACTGTGTGGGAGCCTGAACGTAGACTTAGGTGTACGCAAATTGTAGGCTGTTCACAGTTTAGCTCTCCCCAGAATAAGAAGGTCATCTGTCACTTGTATACAAAATATTGTCATGTGTTGAATTGTGTACCTTACTTCCTTGCACAAAACCAATAAAACCTTGGTGAATGGAACCCTGGGATCTGAAACTGGCAGAAGGCTACAGGTGCCCGGTGCCCCAAACCTCAGCTCCATGGTGAGGTCTCTGTTATTGTGTTGTTCCTGGTCACAGATTAAGGAGCACACAGTGTGCGTGTGTGCACGCGCATGTCTATATTATAGACAAGATCACCCACAATCCCACCAAGCTATGGAGGCTGGCGCCTCACAGAGAAGCACTGGCCCCTAGACAGCCCAGCGGGCTGTACTTCTGAGGCCTGCTCCCCAGGCCTGGGGTCCAGCACCGTTGAGGTCTGTCTCCTAGCCTCTGGCCTCCCTCCCAGAGGACATGGGCAGGAGGGGTATGGCTTGAGGCTCAGTCGCGGGGAGAAGGGCCAACCTCCTGGCATGGAAAGGTGGGGGGGGGTCAGTGGGGAGGTTGGTGGGGAGGTCAGTGGGGGGTCAGCAGGGGGGTCAGTGGGGAGGTCGGTGGGAGGTCAGTGGGGGGTCAGTGGGAGGTCGGTGGGGAAGCAGGGTTAGGAAGCCCAGCCATGGCCACTCATCTTGATGCGTGCAAGTTCAACAGCTTTAGTGGAATTGCATTCACAGCTCAGTATAATAGATGTCTCCACCCACCCACCTCTCTCATGCCATTTCTGGGGCTTGAACTCAGGGCTTGGACGCTGTCTCTGAGCCTCCTTATGCTCACAGCGAGCACTCTACCACTTGAGCCACAGCGCCACTTTCAGCTTTTTCTGGTGGTTTATTGGAGATGAATCTCATGGACTTTCCTCCCCCTGCTGGCTTCAAACCTCGATCCTCAGATCTCAGCCTCCTGAGAAGCTAGGATTATAGGCGTGAGCCACCGGCGCCTGGCCAGACTTCTGGCTATGGTACAATTCCATGTTGACGTGTGGGCTGCCACAGGAGACTTCACAAGATGTGGAGAAGTGCACACTTGGCCTGGAGCCTCCACACCTGGCCGCTGCCGGGCCCGGCCTCCCTCCCCGCCTCCGTCCATGCCGCTTAGGGTTCAGAGGAGCTTGGCTGAGCCTTACACCCCATCCACCACAGCAACAGTCACACAGCTTCCGCCCCTTGGTGACATTAAAATAAGGTGGGGGGAGAGGCACGGCTCAAGTGGTAAAGTGCCTGCCTAGCAAGTACAAGGCTTGAATCCAAACCCGACACCCCCAAGAAGGCCGGGGGTGGCTGGAGACAAGCCCTTTTAAGTAACTCAGACAGGAACGCGTGCACAGGATGCTTCTGTTTCCCCGTCAGGAGCCTCTGCCCGTCACTGCCCAGCGCCGCCCTGCGCAGAGGTGCACAGGGTGAGACTTGGCAGCCCAGCAGGGAGCCGCAAGGGGCCTGGGGCCGAGGCCCAGCAGGGAGCTCCAAGCAGGGCCGGCGCTGGCAGCCGCCTCCTTAGCTGACTTCAGCAGGGAGACCGGCGCTGGGCTGTGGCCTCCCTCCAGGCCGTCACCCGGGCGACCCTTCCCTCCAGGCCCGGCCCTCTCACCTTTGGAACCCCTCCCTGGCCAGAGCCTGTGGAGAGCCCGCAGGTGTGTGCGGCCCCTGCCTTCCACCGGTGCAGAGCCACTATGACTCAGCCCATTCATGTTTGCACAGTGCCTATTGCCCTGAACTTCAAACCACACACTGCCCCTGCTGACCCCAGACTGTAATGATGGGCTGGGGCAAAGGGCTCTGCCAGCCAGCACACTGCCAGGGCCCCCCCGTGCCCTTTCCCACCCGTGGCCAGCCCACAGTGTTGCCTGACCTGCCCCCTGTGGGCCCTCACCCAGCCCCCTGCTCCTGCAAGACCCCTGGCCCATCCCTGCTGCCTCTGCCCTCAGTGCTTCCTCCAACCGCAGGGGAGCCTGAGGGACAGGCCAGGGGAGAGCGGCAGAGATGGGAGAGCGCCGTTCCCTCCCTCCCCGCGTCTCGTCCCTCACAGACTTCAGGCTGTGTCCCCAGTACCCTCTCCTGACTAGTCCGCACGGGCGGACCCTCCCAGCCCCAGCACTGTCACAGGCCCTGGACTGGACGCCGAGCTGGACGCCACTCAGGTCCTCCCCTCCGCTCCCCAAGCCCGGCGTTCACCAGGTGCAGGGCAGGAAATGAAGAAACTTTTGGCTAAGAGGGTTAATTCTTCCAGACGCTGATGAAAAGCATTTGATGAAAGAAAGGAAAGAAGAGAGAGAAAGTGACAGACAAAGAAAAGATGGATAAATTTGACTGTATTGGAGGAGCAGGGCTGGGAGCTGGCTCCGTGGTAGAGCGCTGGCCTGGCATGCACGAGGCCCTGGGCTCGATTCCTCAGCACCACATACGCAGAAAAAGCTAGAAATGGCGCTGTGGCTCAAGTGGGAGAGTGCTAGCCTTTAGCAAAAAGAAGTTCAAGAACCCCAGGCCCTGAGTTCAAGCCCCAGGACTGGCAAAAAAAAAAAGCAGCCACGCACTGCTGGCTCACATCTGTAATCCTAGCTATCGAGGAGACTGAGATAGGAAGATTGTGATTTGAAGCCAGCCTGGGCAGGAAAGTCCATGATGGTGTAGCTCTAGAACACTTCCTTTGAGTGAAAAAGCTCAGGCATGGCACCCAGGCCCTGAGTTCAAGCCCCGTGACCAACAAGAGCAAAGAAGCAGAGGACAGGTGGGCGGCTGCAGGAACAGGAGTGGCCCAGGGCGAACCCGAGGAGAGAGCAGGCAGGGTCTGCACCTGATACAGGAGGGCAAGAGTCACAAACACCCCCAAACCACAGGCAATGCCAGATAACCATGACTCAGCAAAAGACCGTGGCCCTTGGCTGGATACCCAGGGACTTTTCCAGAACAAAGGCCAACAAGGCAGGTGCTAGCAGCCAGGCCAGGCCCCGGCTCTGAGGCTCCGGGAAGGCTGCGGTGGGGGCGCTGGGAAGCTCTAGGCGGGGCGGTGTGGGCAGAGCCATGCACCGCTGCGCTCCAGGGACGCAGGCCCAGGCCTATGAGGCCCCACTCCTCTCCGGGGGGCTGAGAAGGGGAAGCCACCAGCCGAGGCAAGCAGGGGCAGCGAATGTCCCAGCTCTGGCTGCTGGCTGGAGCAGAGGAGCCCAGGGGGGCAGGCAGCCTGGGCCACCCGCCCTTGGACGCTGCAGCTGCCATTTGTATCTCCACCCTTAGCCCCTGAGCTCGCCAGCCCAGCTGGGGCTCATGCTCTGCCCCAGGCCAAGGCCTTGTTTATCTGTGTTCAGGACCTGGAAGGAGGCCCAGGACAGCTCAGTCAGAAAGGAAGGAAAAGGGAAAATGTAGTTTGCAAAAACAAAGAGGAGAAAAAGTGAGTGGAGTGGAGCAGGGGATGGGGCTGCGGAAAGGACGTGGGCCAGCTGCTCTAGACCCTCCTACGCCCACCACAGCCACAGCCAGCGTGGCCCAGGACAACTGCCTCCCCTCAGAAAGGCCTGTCTCCACCTGTGTGCAGAGACACGGGTGTGGGTGTGTGTGTGTGTACTGCAGGGCCTGGATGGGGAGAGAGGGGACAGCTACTTCCTCTGTGCTGAAATGTCTCACACATACACACACACACAGCCCTGAGCACTCAGAATGAAGTTGGCTCACACACACACACACACACACACACACAGCCCTGAGCACTCAGAATGAAGTTGGCTGACACACACACACACACACACACACACACACACACAGCCCTGAGCACTCAGAATGAAGTTGGCTGACACACACACACACACAGCCCTGAGCACTCAGAATGAAGTTGGCTCACACACACACACAGCCCTGAGCACTCAGAATGAAGTTGGCTGACACACACACACATACACAGCCCTGAGCACTCAGAATGAAGTTGGCTGACACACACACACACACACACACACACAGCCCTGAGCACTCAGAATGAAGTTGGCTGACACACACACACACACACACACACAGCCCTGAGCACTCAGAATGAAGTTGGCTCACACACACACACACACACACACACACACACACACACACAGCCCTGAGCACTCAGAATGAAGTTGGCTCACACACACACACACACACACAGCCCTGAGCACTCAGAATGAAGTTGGCTCACACACACACACACACACACACACACACACACACAGCCCTGAGCACTCAGAATGAAGTTGGCTCACACACACACACACACACACACACACACACACAGCCCTGAGCACTCAGAATGAAGTTGGCTCACACACACACACACACACACACACACACACACACAGCCCTGAGCACTCAGAATGAAGTTGGCTCACACACACACACACACACACAGCCCTGAGCACTCAGAATGAAGTTGGCTGACACACACCACACACACACAGCCCTGAGCACTCAGAATGAAGTTGGCTGACACACACCACACACACACAGCCCTGAGCACTCAGAATGAAGTTGGTCTAGCAAAGAACAGTTGGTTCTGACTAGGACTACCATCAAGGCACACTCGATTCTCATGGCCTGAGGATGGGCTGCAGACCTGGACATGAAGATCTACACCAGTGCTCCTCCACCCTGCAGCCCTGGACATGAAGATCCACACCAGCCCCCCCCACCCCCACCCCTGCAGACCTGGACGTGAAGCCCTGCCCGGACCTTTGCTGGCCCTTGGCCGGCTCCCCACAGCTACCTGGACAGCACTCTCTCCCTACCCAGCCTCCAGGGGCAGCCGGTGTCTCCTGGCAGTGAGTGGCCCTCCCCCAGGGCTTCAATGCTTTGCGGCACAGCGCTGGTCTTCTCAGGGAATTTCTGTCACAAGCTCCTAAATTTACCGCCCTCCGGACCCCCGCAGGCCCGGCCCCGCCCCGCCCCGCCCCGCCCCTCCCCGCCCCTCCAGGCTGCCCTCCAGCAGAGGCCGGGGAGGAGGGGCAGGGAGGGGACTGCCGGGAAACGCAGAGTGGAGGCGGGGCGGGGCCGTGCACGCCCCACGGCCCCGGGCCCCATGCGCGCCCCACAGCCCCACGGCCCCGGCCCCGTGCGCGCCCCACGGCCCCGGCCCCAGGGCCCCGTGCGCGCCCCACGGCCCCGGCCCCAGGGCCCCGTGCGCGCCCCACGGCCCCGGCCCCAGGGCCCCGTGCGCGCCCCACGGCCCCGCCCCACAGCCCCACGGTCCCGGCCCCGTGCGCGCCCCACGGCCCCACGGCCCCGGCCCCGTGCGCGCCCCACGTCCCCGGCCCCGGCCCCAGGGCCCCGTGCGCGCCCCACGGCCCCGGCCCCAGGGCCCCGTGCGCGCCCCACGGCCCCACGGCCCCGGCCCCGTGCGCGCCCCACGGCCCCACGGCCCCGCCCCACGGCCCGCGCGCGCCCCACAGCCCCACGGCCCCGGCCCCGTGCGCGCCCCACGGCCCCACGGCCCCGCCCCACGGCCCGCGCGCGCCCCACAGCCCCACGGCCCCGCCCCACAGCCCGCGCGCGCCCCACGGCCCCACGGCCCCGCGCGCGCCCCACGGCCCCGCCCCACAGCCCGCGCGCGCCCCACGCAGGCGTGCGCCCTCAGGGCGCTCAGACCGGGCCGCCGCGCTCCCTCTCCCCTCCAGCCGCCCAGCGCTCACAGTCTGGGTTCCCAGGCGCCTTCTGCGTGCCCCTCGTCCCGGTCCCCGGGCAGGGCAGGGCCGGGCAGGCTGACCCGCCCCACCCGGCCCAGGCCGCGCCTCCCGAGGCTCCGCCCCCCGGGGCAAAGCCTGGAATGGAGCCCAGAGCCCAGGCGGAAACCCAAGAACCAGCGCGGAGCCCGAGAGAAGGGCGGCCGTGCAGGCCCGCAGGTGGGGCGCCCACCTGTTACCTGCCCCCCCCCCCCCAGCCCACGGCGCCTGCGCGGACCAGGGCCCGCGCCCACCTGTTACCTGCCCCCCCCCCAGCCCACGGCGCCTGCGCGGACCAGGGCCCCGCCCACCTGTTACCTGCCCCCCCCCCCAGCCCACGGCGCCTGCGCGGACCAGGGCCCGCGCCCACCTGTTACCTGCCCCCCCCCCAGCCCACGGCGCCTGCGCGGACCAGGGCCCGCGCCCACCTGTTACGTGCCCCCCCCCCAGCCCACGGCGCCTGCGTGGACCAGGGCCCGCGCCCACCTGTTACGTGCCCCCCCCCCAGCCCACGGCGCCTGCGCGGACCAGGGCCCGTGCCCACCTGTTACCTGCTCCCCCCCAGCCCACGGCGGCTGCGCGGAGGCACCGCGAGCGCGCCAGGGCCTCCCCAGGCCCGCCCTCGGCTCGCCTTTCGCCTCCCGCGTGCCCGCACACTGCAGGGCCGGTCGTCTCTGGCCGCCGCTGGCACTGTGGCCCCGTTATGGCAGCTGTAGGTTCGGCCTTGCCTGTGGCGCCTGGAGGCCGCCGGCCCTGTTGCCAGCGGTCACCTCGGTGCGACTGCGGGGCCGAGATGCTCGGGCGGCTCCTCCGGGGGGCCCCAGCTCCTCCGGGGGAGGTGCGCCGGTGGGGGGGGGTCCAGCTCCTCCGGGGGAGGTGCGCCGGCTGCGGGGGGGGGGTCCAGCTCCTCCGGGGGAGGTGCGCCGGCTGCGGGGGGGGGGGTCCAGCTCCTCCGGGGGAGGTGCGCCGGCTGCGGGGGGGGGTCCAGCTCCTCCGGGGGAGGTGCGCCGGCTGCGGGGGGGGGGGTCCAGCTCCTCCGGGGGAGGTGCGCCGGCTGCGGGGGGGGGGGGTCCAGCTCCTCCGGGGGAGGTGCGCCGGCTGCGGGGGGGGGGGGTCCCCCAGCTCCTCCGGGGGAGGTGCGCCGGCTGCGGGGGGGGGGGTCCCCCAGCTCCTCCGGGGGAGGTGCGCCGGCTGCGGGGGGGGGGGGTCCAGCTCCTCCGGGGGAGGTGCGCCGGCTGCGGGGGGGGGGGGTCCAGCTCCTCCGGGGGAGGTGCGCCGGCTGCGGGGGGGGTCCAGCTCCTCCGGGGGAGGTGCGCCGGCTGCGGGGGGGGGGGCCAGCTCCTCCGGGGGAGGTGCGCCGGCTGCGGGGGGGGGGGTCCAGCTCCTCCGGGGGAGGTGCGCCGGCTGCGGGGGGGGGGGGTCCCCCAGCTCCTCCGGGGGAGGTGCGCCGGCTGCGGGGGGGGGGGGTCCCCCAGCTCCTCCGGGGGAGGTGCGCCGGCTGCGGGGGGGGGTCCAGCTCCTCCGGGGGAGGTGCGCCGGCTGCGGGGGGGGGGGTCCAGCTCCTCCGGGGGAGGTGCGCCGGCTGCGGGGGGGGGGGTCCAGCTCCTCCGGGGGAGGTGCGCCGGCTGCGGGGGGGGGGGTCCAGCTCCTCCGGGGGAGGTGCGCCGGCTGCGGGGGGGTCCAGCTCCTCCGGGGGAGGTGCGCCGGCTGCGGGGGGGGGGGCCAGCTCCTCCGGGGGAGGTGCGCCGGCTGCGGGGGGGGGGGTCCAGCTCCTCCGGGGGAGGTGCGCCGGTGGGGGGGGGTCCCCCAGCTCCTCCGGGGGAGGTGCGCCGGTGGGGGGGGTCCAGCTCCTCCGGGGGAGGTGCGCCGGTGGGGGGGGGTCCAGCTCCTCCGGGGGAGGTGCGCCGGCTGCGGGGGGGGGGGGTCCCCCAGCTCCTCCGGGGGAGGTGCGCCGGCTGCGGGGGGGGGGGTCCAGCTCCTCCGGGGGAGGTGCGCCGGCTGCGGGGGGGGGGGTCCAGCTCCTCCGGGGGAGGTGCGCCGGCTGCGGGGGGGTCCAGCTCCTCCGGGGGAGGTGCGCCGGTGGGGGGGGGGGTCCCCCAGCTCCTCCGGGGGAGGTGCGCCGGTGGGGGGGGTCCAGCTCCTCCGGGGGAGGTGCGCCGGTGGGGGGGGGGTCCCCCAGCTCCTCCGGGGGAGGTGCGCCGGTGGGGGGGGTCCAGTTCCTCCGGGGGAGGTGCGCCGGTGGGGGGGGGTCCCCCAGCTCCTCCGGGGGAGGTGCGCCGGTGGGGGGGGGTCCCCCAGTTCCTCCGGGGGAGGTGCGCCGGTGGGGGGGGTCCAGCTCCTCCGGGGGAGGTGCGCCGGTGGGGGGGGGTCCAGCTCCTCCGGGGGAGGCCCGCCGCCTCCGCCTCTGCAGGACCGCCTTCGGCGGTGCCCCGGTTGCCCCCGTCAGCGTGGAGCTCTCCAGGGCGCCTGCCACTGCAGCGAACGGGAGATTTTTCCAGAAGCAGCCAGCGTGCTGCCGACCCCGCCTCCGGCCGGTGACCCACAGCAGGGCCCCGCAGCAGGGCCGAAGGGCGCGGGCCCACACAGGCACGGGCCCCAAGGCGCGGCCACAGCCTCAGAAGCGTCTGGAAAGAGCCGCAGTGCTGTGGCTCAAAGTGGTAGAGCACTAGGCCCAAGCAAAAGAGCTCAGGGACAGTGCTCATGCCAAGTTCAAGCCCCAAAACTGGAAAAACAAAAAACAGAAAATATTAAGAGCTGGTTTCTTACATGCTTACCTCATAAAACAGCAATTGCAATAGCTTTGAGCTGAAGAGCTGAGGGACAGCGCCCAGGCCCAGAGTTCAGGCCCCACAACCAACAACAACAAAAAGAACTAGGATATGTATTGTTTTCTCTAAATACTATTTTCTAAGCTCAAGAAAACAACCACACCATCAACGTACAGCTCAGAAGTCATGTACCAGCAAAGTACTGAGAAAAATAGCAAAAACCCTGCTCTCATGGCTCACTTAGGTTAATGAGTATAGTGTAGGCCAGCGAAGAAGCCAATACTTGAGAAGTAAATAAAAAATTGAAAGCTGGGAAGGTGGCTCAGTGGTAGAGCGCTTGTCTAGCATGCATGAAGCCCTGGGTTCAATTCCTCAGCACCACATAAACAGTAAGTTTATGTGGAAGTGGCGCTGTGGCTCAAGTGGAAGAGGCGCTGTGGCTCAAGTGGAAGAGTGCTATCCTTGAGCAAAAGAAGCCCAGGGACAGTGCCCAGGCCCAGAGTTCAATCAATCAAGAAAAAATTGTTTTTGTATAGTATTTTATTTACTGATCTCTCTGAAACGTAACCATAATTGGAACCTTTTCCACACTAAAATGTTCAACGTAAGTCTAGAGCCTTCCTGGAACCAACATATGAACATTATGTTTAGATGGTTAAGATCAGATTACAACTGAAAGTCAATGTGTAATACTGTCATTCTTCTGGCTTTCTGGGAAACAACACAGCAGTCATGCTCGCCCTCGGTCACGCTGAGACACTGCAGGTAGGAAACTCGGAGTGACTGTTCTCATGTGTTGGTTGCAGACACAGTGGTCAGACTTCGGCTCATTTTGGTCAATGAAAACCAGACTGAAAGTCAGCCACTGCTCAGTGTGCTGATGGCACAAAACCCCTACATACCCAATGACAGTTTCAGAGTCACGCCTGCTTTTCCCAGCTGAGGCACTCGACACACATCACACACTACAGGGCACAGGGAGGGATTTATTGGTTATTAACAGCACAAAAGGAACAGAATAGTCCAACCAAACGAGATCTATTTAATTTTCTCTTAAAAGACAAATGAACTAAGTTTAAGGAGTAGGCTTTTCTTGGTATTTTATTTTCACATTACTGATAAAAATTGTTCTGAGTATATCCTGTTCAATTTCCAAAAATAAAGGTTTTCTAATTGAAAGCATTTTTATTCCTGGACCTGTAAATTACACACTGAAGAGCCCTATCAGTATCCTCTGTCCCAGCACTTACTCAAATCCAAAAGATATTTACTTTCTAAACACAGCAGTCTTCAAGCACGTCCCTCAGTCTGCTTCCGCTACAGCCACAGTGCGGGGCTCCTTGGCCACCATGAGGCGCATGAGCTGACTGTGGAATTTCTCAATCTTCTTTACGTCTTGAGCTTGCTCTGTTCTATAGACCAAACACTGTCAGGATGGAAAAAGCACACAGTCAGTAAAACTAGACACTGGAGAACACCCCAGTGCTAAAAACTTGAGCCCTCCCATTCTCTTCCTTTTCCTACCCAACCAGTCCTTTCTGCATTAGCTTACTTTTCAAGAAGGGTCAAGTCTGGGCACTGTCCCCGAGCCTCTCCATGCACAAGGCTAGTGCTCTACTACTTGAGCCAAAGAGCCACTTCTGCTTTATATGGTGCTGAGGAATCGAACCCAGGGCTTCATGCGTTCTAGGCAAGCGCTCTACCACTGAGCCACCTTCCCAGGCTGGGGTCGAGTGTGCTTTTGCAGGAAGTGGTGGTGGCCTAGTCTGTGATTCTCCTACTTCCTTCCCCTGTTGAACTGGGATTGTAAGTAAGCACTACTACACCCAGCATTCTAGCCATTGTCTTGCTCCAGGCTCTCTGGGAATTGCCTTGAAATTCAATAACTACTTTCCTTGAGGCAAGCATTTCCTTTTTGTTGTTCTGGGCTGGTCTCACACTCGCTCCTTCTTTCTTCTCTTCCCTTTACTCTCCCTGCTCTCCTTCCTTTCCTTTCCTGTTCTCTTTTTAGAAAGTTTTGTTGTTGTTAAAGTAGAAATCCATCTGCCCTTGCAGAAAATGCCAAGTTAGAGACTCATAGACAAGGTTTTCAATGCAATTGCTGTGAATGAAACAACCTAAATAAACTCTTCCAGAAATGTCTAAAAAAATGACAAGTAACACATTACACTTTGCTGTGATCTGGTGAGAAGAATTCAAGGCTTAAAATTAGTATCTCTCATTTTAAAAGACTTTAATTAAAAAGTCAGTTATGGAATTATAAAAACCTATGATAAAGCCAGGTGCCAGTAGATCAAACCTACAATCCTAGCTACTTAGGAGGCTGATAACTGACAGTTTTGTTTGTTTGTTTTGCTGGTTGTGGAGCCTGAACTCTTGGCCTGGGCACTGTCCTACAGCTCTTCAGCTCAAGGCTAGTAGTGCTCTACCACTTGAGCCACAGCGCCACTTCTGGCTTTTTCTGCTTCTGTGGTACTGAGGACTCAAACCTAGGGCATGCTAGGCAAGCACTCTACCACTGAGCCACCTTCCCAGCCCAACAGTTATGATTTGAATCAAGCCAGGAAAAAGAATTGGTGGGATTCTTATTTCTGATTAACCAACAAAATTCTGAAGTGAGGGTATGGTAGTTTCAGCCTTGACAGAAAAAGCTGAGTTATTCTGGGTGCCCTGGAAGCTGAGATCTGAGGATCACGGTTCAAAGCTAGCCTGGGCAGGAAAATGTGAGCCTCATCTCCAATTTAACCACCAGAAAACTGGACATGGAGTTGTGGCTCAAAGTGGTAGAACACTAGCCTTGAGCTGAAGAGCTCAGGGACAGCACCCATGAAGTTCAAGCCCAACAATTGAGCACCCACCAAAAAAAAATCCACAAAAAACTTTGAGCCCGAGAAGCCCAGTTCAAGCCCTAGTACTTGCATACACACACACACACACACACACACAGAGAGATAATGCACCTATGTGATTACAAAAACTAGGGATGTAGCTTAGTTACTTAGCAAGCAAGAAGTTCCTAGGTTCAACTCCCAGGACAGCACCTCTCCCAAAATAAAGAGACAATGAAGGAAGAACACACACTTTTATTTAGAAGAGTTAATAGATTTTTACTGTTGTGTTGGAGTCATACATCTCCTACTTAGGGGGTGGTGTTAGATATCATCTAGGTATAGACTAAAATTACTAACAGTTTTAAGAAAGGCGTTTTCATATTTGGATCTTACCATAGGAGTCAGTAATACTTAATATTTCTGATACTGCTTAAGAAGTACTGTTAATGATGCTCCATCATTACTAGGGGCCAAAGCCATCACTGGATGCAAGCCTGCATCTTCTCCATTCTCATTTCTAAGACGGTAAAAGTTTCTCTCCAGCAGGTACACTTAGCCACTCTGGGACAATTACACATTTTCTCAATAGACTATTCAAGATTCAATACATTTATTTCATCCATTAAGTGGCAAGCACTAATCTACATATTTGTTTGTATTCCACAACAGCACAATTAGGTTAAATAGGCTACTACTGTCAACATTCTATAAAGCAGCCTAAATTTTTCCAAGGACAAAATGCCAGTGAACTGTTAAGCCCAGACTCAGATTCCCACCCATCCATGAACAGCACACTAGGTCTCCGTTTACTCTTCCCATTTATACCAAATTTAACTGGGTCTTAGATGACATGGCCATCACGAAGCAGTCTGATTGCATGCAAACTCTTCAGCAAATACAATATATGACCAAAAACATAAAGTGATCTTAATCATCATACACGGTTAGACTTTTAGAAAAAATTACTCTAACTTTAAAATATTTACTGAGGGCTGGGAAGGTGGCTCAGTGGTAGAGCACTTGCCTTGCATGCATGAGGCCCCGGGTTCAATTCCTCAGCACCACATAAGCAGAAAAAATAAATAAATAAATATTTACTGAGTGCGCTTGATCAAAATTTCTTATGAGCACTGGAAACTCAGGTAAGACTATTAACTCATTTATCTCTATTGGCTTGAAATTTGAAGTCCATTAAAAAGCTAGATGTGATATTATTAACTGTGAATCAACTCACCCAGCATCTAAGAAATACAAGAGATAAAGTAATTCTCTTGAGTTGGGTTTTGAAAAATAAGCAGTCTTGCTTATTAAGGCAGGCTAGGATTCAATATTTCAAAAAAAACATTGGGAAGATGGCTCAGTGGTAGAGCGCTTGCCTTGCATGCCTGAGGCCCTGGGTTCGATTCCTCAGCACTACATAAGCAAAATGAAAAAAGCCGGAAGTGGCGCTGTGGCTCAAGTAGTAGAGCACTAGCCTTGAGCTGAAGAGCTGAGGGACAGCGCCCAGACCCAGAGTTCAGGCCCCATGACCGGACCAAAAAAAAAAACAAAAAAAAACATGATACCAAAATAAGAGATCCAAGGAGAGCCGGGCGCTGGTGGCTCACGCCTGTAATCCTAGCTACTCAGGAGGCTGAGATCTGAGGATCACGGTTCAAAGCCAGCCCGGGCAGGAGAGACTGTGAGACTCTTATCTCCAATAAACCACCAGAAAACCGGAAGTGGCGCTGTAGCTCAAGTGGTAGAGTGCTCGCTTAAGCTGAAGAGCTGAGGGACAGTGCCCAGGCCCAGAGTTCAAAGCCCCATGACCGACAAAAAAAAAAAAAAAAGAGATCCAAGGAGAAATGAGAATGGAGTTTAAAAGGTTTTTAAACAAGGGAGTAACCATCAAATGATAGAGGATGTGCTTGAATATAAAAGGGGAAGGAGGGAGGGAGGGAGGGAGGGAGGGAGGGAGGGAGGGAGGGAGGGAGGGAAGGAAGGACAGACGGACTCACGCAGCAACACAGAATTAAGTAAAATCAAGGATGTAGTTAGCAGACTTTTTTTTTCAGTTGTGGGGCTCAAACTCTGGGCCTGGGCGCTGTCCCTCAGCTCTTCAGCTCAAGGCTAGCGCTCTACCACTTGAGCCACAGCGCCACTGCCAGTTTTCTGTGGTTTATTGGAGATCAGAGTCTCACAGACTTTTTCTGCTTGGGCTGAACCGCGATCTTCAGATCTCAGCCTCCCGAGTAGCTAGGATGACAGGCGAGAGACACTGGCGCCTGGCACCAGCAGACTTTTCTTATGGACATGCGGCAATTCGATCATGAACAGAAGAGTAACCGCAGCCATGAAGATGGACAATTCATGACAGGGAATGAGGGAAGAGGCTTGAATCTGTGACTCTCAACACCTAGTGAAGTGTGGTATATCAAAAGATCGGTACTTTTCAAATAAATGGAAAAGAACTAGGCAAAGGGACCAACCATGGTCTCCAGGTTTCTGCCCAGGTGGGTCAGAATAACCTAATGGCAGGAAAAGAAAGAGCCAGAGAAGAGCTCATAAGGGTCACTCTGGACAGGCTGACTTTGAGGTAAGGGTACTCGACTTCAGAAACAATCAAGATGTCAGAGGTCAGAGGAGAAATAGAAGCCAAACATACAAATCTGCAAGTATACACAAATATAGCAGTGGACCCACAGAATGGACTGCTTTACAAGAAGTGGTATGAGGGGCTGGGAAGGTGGCTCAGTGGTAGAGCGCTTGCCTTGCATGCATGAGGCCCAGGGTTCGATTCCTCAGCACCACATAAGCAGGAAAAAAAAGCTGGAAGTGGCGCTGTGGCTCAAGTGGTAGAGTGCTAGCCTTGAGCTGAAGAGCTGAGGGACAGCGCCCAGGCCCAGAGTTCAGGCCCCACAACCGGACCCCTCCTCCCCCCCAAAAAAAAGTGATATGCACACACCATCAAAGACAGAATGCTGGGAAAAAAAATACTTATGGGACACATGGAGAAATCATTAACAAAGAAACAAACACAATCACAGGAAACAGTCAAGATAAAATGGAGCCCAAGACCACAATAATGTGAAAAGATTAAGCCAAATCTGAACTGAGGAGACCACTGGATGGGAGAATGAAGACAGCTACTGAGGTCTCCTCAAGAGCTGTCAGTGGAGTGGTGAGTGCAGAAGCCTGGTAAAAAGGGGAATGAATGAATGGAACGGCAAGAAGAGATGCAGTAACAAAGCCTGCGTTCACACAGCTCTGCTTCCTCTGCATTCCCTTCACTTACATTTGCAGACACCACTGCTAAGCCACACTTGATGTACATTATTTTTTTTTTTATTTCTTTTTTTTCTGGTCATGGGGCCTAAACTCTGGGCCTAGGCACTGTCCCTCAGCTCTTCAGCTCAAGGCTAGCGCTCTACCACTTGAGCCACAGCACCACTTCCGGTTTTTTTCTTTTTGCTTATGTGGTGCTGGGGAATCGAACCCAGGACCTCAGGCATGCAAGGCAAGCGCTCTACCACTGAGCCACCTTCCCAGCCCCCGTACATTATTTTTGAACAGTCTGTTTAAACTGGATGCCACAGGCTCACGCCTATAATCCTACATCCGTGGGAGGCCGAGAATGGTAAGCTCAAGGTTCAAGGCTATCTAAGGCAAAAACTTTGCAAGACAGAATTTCCATCAATAAAGCTGGGCATCGTAGAGCATACCTGTCATTACATCCATCCTAAGTGTAAACAGGAGGATCACAGTCCAAGCCTGCCTGGAGAGCCTAAAGACCCTCACCTCAAAGGAATGAAGGTGTGGCTCAGGTGGCATAGTGTCTGCCAGACTTTTAAAAGGAGGTTTTCATTTTGGTGTGAGTATACAACAAGTATCCTAGTGGGTAATCTGCATAAATTCTATGTAAATAACTTCACACAAATGATTACATAAAGAAACTCAAGAGTACGGAACCAAGAAGAAGGCACACTCACAACGGCATCGTCTGTCACTTTCATGCACAAAGTCCCGTCAGCATGCCTGTACTTGAGAACCACACGCACCTGCAAGAGAAACCCGTGTTTATAAAAAGACAAACCACATTTTTCATAAGAAAGTCTTGAGCTGAGCTGAAAAAGAATCTTTTTGGAATAAGACATGGAAAGACACTACTATGGCAATCTTTTTGTTGCTGTTGTTAGTTGTGGGGCTTGAACTAAGGTTCTCTCCCTGAGCTCTTTTTGCTGAAGGATAGAGCTCTACCACTTTGAGCCACATACTACTTCCAATTTTCTGGTGGTTAACTGGGGATAGTCTCAAGGACTTTTCTGCCCAGGCTGTCTTTAAACTGCAATCCTCAGATCTCAGCCTCCCGAGTAGCTAGGATTACAGGCATGAGCCACCAGTGCCTGGCATATGGCAATTTTATCACTACCGAAATTGGTAGGGGAAAAAACTTACAATTAGAGTTCACTCATAGTTTTACAATTTGTTTTTTAAACAACTTATTTTTAAAAGGGAAGGGGGAGTGGCACTGTGGCTCAAGTGGTAGAGCGTTGGCCTTGAGCTGAAGAGCGCAGGGAGAGCGCCCAGGCCCAGAGTTCAGGCCCCACGACCAGACCCCCCCCCCAAAAAAGGGGAGGGGATATTGTATTTGTAGCCAGTTTTAACTGAAAATGACATGAACTGAAAATTCTCAAAACACATCTAGTCAGCGAGAGTCTGTGGTAGTTTGGCATTGTTCTTCCTAGTTGGTTGTAGGGCTTGAACTCAGGGCCTGGGCGCTGTCCCTGAGCCTTTCTGCTCAGGGCTAGCGCTCTGCCACTTTGGGCTACGGCTCCGTTTCCGGTTTTTGAGTGAGTGGAGGTCAAAGTCTCGTGAACTTTGCTGCCCTGGCTCTGATCGCGATCCTCAGATCTCAGCCTCCTGGGTGGAGAGGAGTGGGGTGAGCCGCCGGCTCCCAGCAGCGTGGCTTACGCGCGTGAAGCCACAGAAAGACGGAAGGAAAAGAGTTACCGCGAGCGTTACGGTGCAAGCCCGCGCCTCAGGAAGCCGTGCTGAGCCCACCGCACATCTTCACCGCGAAAACGTGAGCCGTGGCCCGAGGGCGGAGCGGCCCCCCGCAGCCCGCGTCCCGGCACCCCGCGTCCCCGCAGCCCGCAGCCCGCGTCCCCACACCCCGCGTCTCCGCACCCCGCAGCCCGCGTCCCCGCAGCCCGCACCCCGCAGCCCCGCATCCCGCAGCCCGCGTCCCCGCAGCCCGCGTTCCCGCATCCCGCAGCCCGCGTCCCGGCACCCCGCGTGTCCACACCCCGCGTCCCCGCACCCCGCGTCTCCGGCCGCCCCGCGTGTCCGCAGCCCGCGTGTCCGGCCGCCCCGCGTGTCCGCAGCCCGCGTCTCCGGCCGCCCCGCGTCTCCGCACCCCGCGTCTCCGGCCGCCCCGCGTCTCCGGCCGCCCCGCGTGTCCGCACCCCGCGTCTCCGGCCGCCCCGCGTCTCCGGCCGCCCCGCGTGTCCGCACCCCGCGTCTCCGGCCGCCCCGCGTGTCCGCACCCCGCGTCTCCGGCCGCCCCGCGTGTCCGCACCCCGCGTCTCCGGCCGCCCCGCGTGTCCGCAGCCCGCGTGTCCACACCCCGCGTGTCCGCAGCCTGCGTGTCCGCAGCCCGCGTCTCCGGCCGCCCCGCGTGTCCGCAGCCCGCGTGTCCGGCCGCCCCGCGTGTCCGCAGCCCGCGTGTCCGCAGCCCGCGCCTCCGGCCGCCCCGCGTGTCCGCAGCCCGCGCCTCCGGCCGCCCCGCGTGTCCGCAGCCCGCGCCTCCGGCCGCCCCGCGTGTCCGGCCGCCCCGCGTGTCCGGCCGCCCCGCGTGTCCGCACCCCGCGCCTCCGGCCGCCCCGGCTCTGCGGCCGGGCTCCCCCGCGGGCCCGGTTCGGCGCGCCACCGTTCGCGCCGTCTCCACGTGCAGCTTTTCGGAGGCTAATTGGAGGTAAGAGCCCGGACGCCCCGCGGCCGGGCCGGCTCTGCGGGGCCGCCCGCGGGTCTCGGCCTCCAGGGTAGCGGGAGGGAGGGTGAGGGCCGCCTCGGCCGGAGCGATCCCTCCTCCGCCAGCCCTGGGCCGGAGGCGGAAGGGGACCGCGGCCCCAAGACCCGTGCGGCCCCGCGTCCCCGCAGCCCCGCGTCCCCGCAGCCCCGCGTCCCCGCAGCCCCGGCGGCCCCGCGTCCCCGCAGCCCCGCGGCCCCGCAGCCCCGCGTCCCCGCGTCCCCGCGTCCCCGCAGCCCCGCGTCCCCGCAGCCCCGCGTCCCCGCAGCCCCGGCGGCCCCGCGTCCCCGCAGCCCCGCGGCCCCGCAGCCCCGCGTCCCCGCGTCCCCGCAGCCCCGCGTCCCCGCGTCCCCGCGTCCCTAAGACCCGTGCGGCCCCGCGTCCCCGCAGCCCCGCGTCCCCGCAGCCCCGCGTCCCCGCAGCCCCGCGTCCCTAAGACCCGTGCGGCCCCGCGGCCCCGCAGCCCCGCGTCCCCGCAGCCCCGCGTCCCCGCAGCCCCGCGTCCCTAAGACCCGTGCGGCCCCGCGGCCCCGCAGCCCCGCGTCCCCGCAGCCCCGCGTCCCCGCAGCCCCGCGTCCCCGCGTCCCTAAGACCCGTGCGGCCCCGCGTCCCCGCAGCCCCGCGTCCCCGCGTCCCCGCAGCCCCGCGTCCCCGCGTCCCCGCAGCCCCGGCGGCCCCGCGGCCCCGCAGCCCCGCGTCCCCTGGCCCAGGGCGCCGCGACCTCCGCGGTCCGCCAGCTGAGGGCCGGGCCGCCGGGACGAGCCACACTGGGCTCCGGGCCGTCGGGCCGCCTACCTTCATCGGGTCGGCCAGGTAGAGCTTCTCCGCCGCGCGGCTGAACTCCTCCCAGTTCTGGAACTGCGGCATGGCGGCGGCGGCCCCGCTCCTCCTCCCTCAGGCACCGGCGGGGACGCCACCCGCACCAAGATGGCGGCGCCCGCCCCGCCCCGCCCCGCCCCGCCCCGCGCCGCCCCGCGCCGGACGTCCGGGCCGCGCTCGCCCGCGGGAGGAGGGCCCGCTGCCGGGGGCGGGGCCGCGCGCGGGGTTGTGGGAGCGGCGGGGCGGGCGGACGCGGCGCGGGGGGTAGCCGAGGCCGGAGCGTCTCGAGCTCCAGCCAGCCCGTCTCCACGGAGACCGCCCGGCCGCGACAGCGCCCGCTGCCGGGCTGGAGGAGCGGCGGCGGGGCCCGGAGGCGGCGCGGGCCGGACCCGCCGGGCGCGGGCGCTGCGTGGCGCGGAGCAGAGGGCGGGCGCGGGCCGGGGGCCGGGAAGGGGCCGGGGGTCGGACGGGGGCGGGGGGCGCGGGGGAGGGGGGGACCGGAGGGCGGACGCGGGCGGGGGGGGGTCGGGGGAGGGGGGACCGGAGGGCGGACGCGGGCGGGGGGGGCCGGGGATCGGACGGGGGCGGGGGGGGGGTCGGGGGAGGGGGGACCGGAGGGCGGACGCGGGCGGGGGGGGCGGACGCGGGCGGGGGGGGCCGGGGATCGGACGGGGGCGGGGGGGGTCGGGGGAGGGGGGACCGGAGGGCGGACGCGGGCGGGGGGGGGGACGGGGCCGGGGGTCGGACGGGGGCGGGGGGGGGGTCGGGGGAGGGGGGACCGGAGGGCGGATGCGGGCGGGGGGGGGACGGGGCCGGGGTCGGGCGGGGGGGGCGGGGGAGGGGGGACCGGAGGGCGGACCGCGGGCGGGGGGGGACGGGGCGGGGGGGGACGGGGGAGGGGGGCCAGAGGACGGACGCGGGCGGGGGGGAACGGGGGAGGGGGGGGGAACGGGGGAGGGGGGGAACGGGGGAGGGGGGGGGACGGGGGAGGGGGGACCGGAGGGGCGGACGCGGGCGGGGGGGGGGGCGGGGGGGGGGGGGGGGGGGGGGGGTCGGGCGGGGGGCGGGATGGGGTGGGGGTGCCGGGGGCTGGGGGGGATGGGGCGGGGGGGGGCGGGGGCCGGGGGGGGCCGGAGGGCGGACGCGGGCGGGGGGGGGGCGGGGGCGGGGGGGGGGACCGGAGGGCGGACGCGGGCGGGGGGGGGCGGGGCCAGGGTGGGGGCCGGGGGCGGACGCGGGCGGGGGGGGCGGGGGGGGCGGGGGGGGGGGCGGGGGCGGGGTGGGGGCCGGAGGGCGGACGCGGGGCGGGGGGGGCGGGGGAGGGGGGACCGGAGGGCGGACGCGGGCGGGGGGGGGGGGACGGGGGCGGGGTGGGGGCCGGAGGGCGGACGCGGGCGGGGGGGGGGGGCGGGGGAGGGGGGACCGGAGGGCGGACGCGGGCGGGGGGGGGGGGCGGGGGAGGGGGGACCGGAGGGCGGACGCGGGCGGGGGGGGGGGGGGGGACGGGGGGTGGGGGGGGCGGGGGCCGGGGTGGGGGCCGGAGGGCGGACGCGGGCGGGGGGGGGGGCGGGGGAGGGGGGACCGGAGGGCGGACGCGGGCGGGGGGGGGGGGGGAGGCGGGGGGAGGGGGGGACCGGAGGGCGGACGCGGGCGGGGGTGGGGTGGGGGCGGGGACGGGGGTGGGGGGGCGGGGCCGGGGTGGGGGCCGGAGGGCGGACGCGGGCGGGGGGGGGGGGGGGGGGGGGGGCAGCTGCCAGGCCCTGGGCTAACCCGGGTTGGATTTCGGTTGGTAAAAAACAAGCTCGAGCAAAGCCGACCCTGCTTCTTTCTCGATCTTTCCGTCGAGGATGAAGCGGGGGAGGCAGTGCAGACAGACGGGGCGGCCTCAGCCCTCACTTAGCTTTCTTGCAGGCTGGAAGAGAATCACCGGCCGCTGCAGAAACAATTCCAAAAGCAGTTTTCCAGCTTCTCCATGGAGAAGGCTCCCGCCAGCCGTGGCCTCTCAGAGTCCAAACAGCAAACCCAAGTGTGCCACATCGTAAGGCCTCTGTTTCCAGAGGCCCTTCTGCTGCGCTGGATAGAATCACGTTCCTTCCTGCATCAAATTGAGGGCGCTGGCTGGGGTGCACCTCCTGGCCGGGCGGTAGACAGGTCTGAAGCCCAGGCCTCTCTCAGTTGCCTTCAGAGGAAATAAAGGAAATAGATTGTCAAGCACAAATGCACAATATTCTCCTCAAGTCCCCCTTCCTCCCTTCCTACCCTCAGTCACACCAGACCTTCCTTACCTAAGTCTTACTGTATTATTACCACTGACAAGTTATCCATTCATATACCATATTTCATGGCCAGGAATTCAGGAACTGAGTTGCAGACATTTTACTGGCCAGCCCTTAAGCTGAGCAAAGCATTTTAAACATGTCTGTGGGTTGGGAGCGGAGACAAGGTGAGCTCACAGACACCTACAACCCAAGAAAGCCGCAGGTCACAGCCTAGGAGAGCAACGTTTGTGTGGCGTTGGCTTTTCCTTCAGTAAAACATGCCCACAGTTACTAACGGCCAGAGGCCGCCGCGGGGAGGCCCTTGTGCACAGGAGACTCTGTTGCATCCACTGCAGGGGAAGTACTTTTAGTTTCTTTCTCTTTGAATTCTGTCCCTCTTTGATCCCTGTTCTCCCACTGGTGCTATCGCTGCTGTAGACTGAGAACAGGGAAGGTCCTCAGGTGGGTTCATTTGTTAATAATCGTAACTCTTCAGATGTGGCTGCCAGGTCAGCAACGTGTGTCTCTATATTTGTTTTCTTTCATTAAATATCACTCCACTGTGTGCCAAGAGTCAGAAGACTTCCTTCTGGTACCTTCCCAGGGTTCATGGGTTCAGCACCAGGAGTCAGGGTGACACGGACCCAGTGGTAAAAGCCAACACAGAAACAGGTTTGCCCAAGGCTCCCTCCCCGGAGCTGGGGGGAGAGGGAGGCGTGAGCCAGTGGGGCAGCAGCTGGGCAGGGTGTCCAGTGGGGGGCGGTGGTGTGCTGAGCCACGGCTGTCCCGCGCCAGCTTCGGCCCATTTGTTCTCTTGCTACTCAGTGCCCACCTCCGGTCTCCTCGGCTGGGGAGCTGCGGCCGGTCCTGCTCCCCTGCAGATCCTCAGCACGCACAGTGCCTGCCGAATCGGCTGGCAACAGCCGGGGCTGAGATCTCGGCGTTGCGCCCTCCCCAGGGTCTTGAGAAGCCAGGGCTGCATGGTCCAGGCCAGGATCACTGTATGTGCTCCTGGTGGAAAGAGCCTGAAGGTGGTTTTTCAGACTCCTGGGGGAGAATTTACATGTTTATTTATTTCATGTATATACTTTTGTGTGCCAGGATGGAAGCACTGAGCCACACTGCCAGCCCACCTCACCGTGGATTCTGCTCAGAATCCTCTGCTGGCCCTGGGGCTGGGTGGAAGGGAACGGCGGCCTCAGCTGGGACTGCGGCCTGCCCCTCACCTCACTGCTCCGGAGTGCACCTGAGGTCCTGGGCCCCCTCCGAGGACGGGGCGTTCCTGTGTTTTGGGCTGGGGATGACCCCTGTACAAGTGAAACGCTTCAAACAGAACCCAATCAAGAGGGGAAAGCAGTGCTCTTTTACTTCCAGGACAGGCTGGGATTGAGCCTGGGGTGGGAAGGGCCTCCTGGGGAGGCCGGGTCAGGCCAGGCCACGGCCCAGCCTCCTGCCATTCTGGAGAGCTGAGACCCAAGCAAGGCCAAGGCTCCCCCGCACCGGCACCGGCCGCCGTCTGGAAATGATGAGTGCAGACCCCAGCAGCGGGGAGGACAGGCCCCCCTCCTCCCCCGCCCCACTTCCTGGCCCTCCTTCCTCCTCTCTGCAGTCTGGCCTGGCCCACCGCAGCTCCATGCCCACCCCCAGCCAGCCAGCCCCACACTGCCCAGGCTCCCTGCAGAATGGACTCATTGTAGCTCCAACAAACCCGAACCAAAATAGCATTTTTTTCTTCACCTGAGGAGATTCACTTTAAACCCCAAAGTCCCAGATGTGGACAACAAAGGAGGCTGTTGTTGGAAATCACTGATCCTAGAGTTTGGAGAGGCCCCAGTGCCAGCAGGGTGGGGAGCGGCTGTGGAGGGAGCCTGCCTGGCACTCCTTAACCCAGTTAGCAACCTGACGGGGGGCGGCCGGGACGGTCTGGTGGGGGCAGGAGGGGAGGGTCTGGTGGGGGGGCAGGTGGGGAGGGTCTGGTGGGGGCAGGCGGGGAGGGTCTGGTGGGGGGGCAGGTGGGGAGGGTCTGGGGGGCAGGTGGGGAGGGTCTGGGAGGGCAAGTGGGGAGGGTAGGGGGGCAGGTGGGGAGGGTCTGGGGGCAGGTGGGGAGGGTCTGGTGGGGGGGCAGGTGGGGAGGGTCTGGTGGGGGCAGGTGGGGAGGGTCTGGTGGGGGCAGGTGGGGAGGGTCTGATGGGGGGGCAGGTGGGGAGGGTCTGGGGGGCAGGTGGGGAGGGTCTGGGAGGGCAAGTGGGGAGGGTAGGGGGGCAGGTGGGGAGGGTCTGGGGGCAGGTGGGGAGGGTCTGGGGGCAGGTGGGGAGGGTCTGGGAGGGCAAGTGGGGAGGGTGGGGGGGCAGGCGGGGAGGGTGGGGGGGCAGGGTGCTGCTGGAAAGAAAATGGGAGGGAACCAGTTCCTTCTCAGTGGTAATGTTATTTTTACCATTTTGTATGTGTTCTCTGATGAGGTCTCTGCTCAGCAGTGGCTCTCCTGTGGAAGCCTCGGGGGGGCTGGGGATGGATCTCCGGGTCCCAGGCATCTCCAAGGTGTGGTGTCCAGCTGGCCAACAGCACTTCCCAGGCCTGCTGGTCAGGGTGGAGAACCAGTGTTACCCGCCAGCCCCAGAACCCTGTGGAGGCTCTCTACTGGGGACTGGGCAATGTAATTGGGCCCGGGCATCAGGCATGCTTCCCCACTGCCCACAAGCTGGACTTCCGAGGTCAGCTTAGGCCAGGTGCAGTGGCCAGGTTCTCGGACACAGGCAAGGTCTGAACAAAGTCAGAACGCGCTCTGAGGGGATGTGGCAATATGGAGGGGAGCACTGTTGGGAGAGAAGGCCTGCAGCGGCCAGGGAGGGCTGGACACAGCGTGAGTC